TGTCAGCGGAGGAGGATTCGCAACCTCTCCCACTTCACAAGTTATATGGAGTAACTGCTGTGCAGATCTTTCTAAAGCGGTGGCGGTGGGCTGGAGTCAGAGAGAGGACAAACTCCAGTTTATATTAGGGTGCATCAATCTAAAGGTGGCGATTCGGCTGCGTTGATTCTGCAATGTTGGAATCTTGGAGTGTTGGAGTTTTCAAATATAAAAATTCAGAAAAATAGCTTGAAATATTGTTTCTATTGTTTATATTGCACTACTGTGTAAATTGTTTCTGCAGTCACATTTGTGTGTTGAGTGTATTTAAAGAATAATTTTGAATCATAACAAGATAAATTAGGAATGGAAATAAATAACCAATTAACTGTTAACCAGCAAATAAACAATTATTCGTCCAGTGCTATTGGTAAAATATGAATTCAGTTTAATTTTCTAAAAAACAGCAGTGCTTATTTGAATAGGCAGGTTTATCATTCAAGTTGAGGAAGGTTTTTGAATTGCATGATGGTGAAATAGGCAGTTTTTTCACTGAGATAGACCTTCTAAAAATCAAACACAGCAAAAATGTGGGACAGTAACAAAGACGATGTACCATATTGAAAGTAAACATCCAGAAGCTGTAAGACACAGTTATTTCATCCATGTTCTCAGAAAGAGCATTTGAAGTGAGGAAATCACGCATGGATTGCAAAATTATAGAAAAGGACACGGCTTTTGAGAGTTACTAAGGTGCGTCTAAGCAAACTAGCATTTCTGTTCATTTTAACCTGAGCTAGTAAGGAGTTGCAACTTTAGAGTATAGGACTTTCAGTAGTCCATCATTTTGTCAACTTTTTAATTTTTGGTCACAGTCATGATCATATTGTAGTTGTCAGCCCTTTGGTTCATACATAAGTAAGTTTTCACGTAGGATATGTTTAATATTGTTTTGGTCCGTTTACTTCATATACATGCTTATGGCTGGTCTCCCCTGTCAGTACGACATTCTGTCGTCCACATGTATCAAGTATTTTACCATGACTTCACACAGACCCCAGCCAGTCAACTTCTAAATCTGAAATTTTATAATCAGTGTTTTAAAGGATCTCATCCTTGATTTAGGCTTGTCAGTGACTGATGTTGGTTGGTTTTCAGTGAAAAGAATTTGCCAAAATTTGCATCCTTAAATCAAACTGAATTGGTGAAATTTGCAGTCTTGTGCATTGAATTGTTTTCTAAAAAATCATAAATGAATTGCTGCGAGATCTGAGATTGACACCTCTACTTCATATAGTGAGCTGCAGAGCTCATCCAGTCCTATGCAAGTGATGACTGGGGTGTGTAATGAATGGCTTTATGGGCACCATTTTTATTCCAGCCAGAGCATAGGCCTCTGCCCAGCGGAATTGAATCAATGCAGCGGTTTAAAAATAACAAGGAATATTATCCACTTCATGCGTTGCTGAGCGAACTGGATGTGTTGAATGCTTCCTGACAAGCTGCATGGAGGCGGAATCTGCCTCAGTTCTTCCACTCGCCTGCTCTCTCTCTCTCTCACCCTGTTTCCCTCCCTCTCTCTTTCTCCCTCTGCTGATTACAGATCTTGTGTTGGTGTTGGGTGTGGCAGTTTTGAACTGAGAACTGTGGAGGCTGCCAAACAGCCCTATGAATTTAGATTTAAGTCTTTCTGTGGAGTAAGTTTTTCCTCCACAGTCCGTTTTCTGTTGATTATCATGCTGAGCCAAGCGTTCAGTCTGTGGTCAGATGATGCCCACTCTCTATAGAACGTTGAGCTGATTTACCTTGCCAGATTTTGTCGACCTATTGTATGGCTATGAGTCATACAGGTATTTTTAGGGTATTATCTTTGATTTTTTTGCCTGGTGTTTGCCAAGTTCATCTTTTTGAGTTATAGGTCATTTAACTCTGCAGTTCACAATTTATGTAGCCCCTTGTATGCAAACGCATGCAGAAAATTAAGTCAGAGAATACTTTATATATATTTCTCTCACGCTCGCTCTCCCTCTCTCTCTCTCCCCTGTCTGTTGTATTATTATTCAGTGTTGTAATGCCTGGGTTTTATCAGGGCATTACACTAAGATTACTAAGGAGCTCCAGTCGTGCCTGTAAAGGAAGGAGGTGGAGATTAAAACTTGGGGCAGATTGTCAGATTTCTCACCCAGCTGTGCTCTCCAGTGCCCAGAGAAGACACACACACTCACACTATGTAGGTCACAGAGCACCTGCGTGGTTTGAGGGCTCAATTATCCCACGACTGGCATCAGACCTTTGAGACCTTACGTGGCAGGACAGGACGCATGTAACGAGGCGAGGTGCCTGCTCAGACTTCCTGCTGGACAGTGCGAGGTCCTAGAGTCATCATCCAGGCATCTGCTGTCACCGGCTGCAGTGGACTGGTATTGAACTCTGAGTCCCTTCGGGACAGGGGAGAGAGAAACCAAGAGAGAGAAGGATATGACAAAGAGAGCGAGAGAACCAGTAAGGAACGAGAGAGAGAGCAGGATAGGATACACGGTAAGAGGAAATAGGAGGATATGACGGACAGAAAAAGAGAGGAAGACAGCAAGAGAGACAAAGAATGAGAGAGCAGGATCTGGCAGAAAGAACGGACAAGAGCAGAAAGAGAGATGGACCAGGAGAGAGATGAAAGGGGTAGAAAGAAAGACAGAAGAGAGAGAGAAGAGAGGGGGCAGACAGAAAGAAAGAGAGAGAAAAGAGAGGGGGTAGACAGAGGAAAGAGAGAAAAGAGAGGGGGCAGACAGAAAGAGAGAAAAGAGAGGGGGCAGACAGACAAAAAGAGAATAGAAGTGGCAGACAGAGGAAAGAGAAGAGAGGGGAAGACAGAGAAAGGAGAGAGAGAAGAGAGGGGGCAGACAAAAAGAGATGGAGGGGAATAGGGGGGAGAGAGAGAGGAAGCAGACGAGAGACGCCTGCCCCAATACACGCACACATCGTTTCCCTACCACACAGTCAAACCGCAGCCAGGACTCACCACACCAATGATTGCTCTATCCTCCACCTGCGGACACACAAACACCACACAGGATGTCATTGTAAAGGGGTGTGTGTGGGGTGGGGGTGGGGGCAAAGAGTCGGGGGGGGCGCTGTGGGCAGTATGTGAGTCTTACTGCAATCTTTGGTAAGCCTTCATGTGGGCAGGATATTGAAAAAGGCATTTTTGCTTTTCAGTTCCCTTACGGTCCAGTGTTCCTCTGTAATACATGATCAAAGATGTGATGTGCTTTGACTTGTTTTCACACTTTCATGGAGTTCTTTCATTTCTAGGACGATCCTCGCAACCTTTTAGCCGAGTGTCATCTTCACTTAAGCGCCAAACTTCGCACTGAAACTGACAAAAAGGACAAAGACATGTTTTCACCGAAAGGACAATGCGAACAAAATGTGCCATATTTGTGCCCTGCCATGCAACGTGAGGCAGTTTTCATTTGACTTAAATACTGCTGTCATGTGTGACTGTAATGAATACAGCTAATTTAATGTACTTTTGGTAAAATGTTAGCCTCTTTTTGAAGTTCCCTTGTCCTTGTAGTGTTTATGTAGGTCTTACCACTTTGATCTGTTTTCTTGGACAAATATTCAGTTCTTCTTTTGTGCTAGCTCTGGGTGAAATGGATGAAATCTCCAGAGTCTTGGCCCAAAATACAGTCATTAAACATTCATAGAAATTATCCTTAGCAATCAGAGGGCCATTAATGTTTCAGTGTCCTGATTAGATGCCCTTTCTGAAACAAAGCACTCTGTCCTAAACTACATTTTCTCCCTGTTGGGTTGAAGGATTGCAGAGTGAAATACTTGGCCTGCAGTATCCTGGCAGACATTCAGGCCGTATGCTCCAGCAGGCTGGAAAGTGTGAGACGTTAGCTGTCAACCTATAGAAAATCGTACAGGACGTCTTCAAAGTGGGAAATGAAGTTTTTAAAAGGTTACAGAGACCAGATGTTGAAGAAAGCATGTGTAAACAGAGCAGAGGCTTGGTCTTCTGCCTCTCTATTAGCCTCAACTGCTGCTAACTCTATCGGGCAGTGCAGCCACCATGGAGTCCCATGATAAAATGCTTTAAATGCACTCCTCTTGTTTTAATGGACCTCACACTTTAAGCTTTTTATCACAGACAGTGGCTGGGGAGTTGAGATGAAACGGAATGTCATAACCTGTTCTTGTGGCTGGCTCTCATGAGATAGTTAAGAGGAAATTAGATGAGAGGAAAGTTGAGACGTCTCGATGTTGCTCATTTCCTTACAGAAGTCACAGAACACAGGCCCGTAGCTCATGGAACGTCGGTCAGAACATGATTAGACTTCTCTAAATGTTTTGTTAGATAAGGCAAGCGCAGGATTTGGCTCATTGTTTTTCTTTTCCCTTTTTGTCCATTCAGCTGTCCTTTACATTGTGTGAAAATTTCATGATAAATCGACCAGAATTACTTGGAAAAAAAAATCTTATTACATTAACTCACATTAGAAGTTTGATAAGATAAGAACGTTCCCCATTTCCTGAAAAGGTACCATGTTGGAGAGCCAAGATTTTTTTCCAACAATAATGTGGATTGGTAGGCAATTTGTATAGCAGCCTTTTGGTAATTTCAGTTCTTGTGGATTTGAACCAAAAGGTGACATGTGAGTTCATGCATTCAGGCAGTCAGCAGTCAGTGGTGGGTCCTTGTTCATCAACAACAGTAGCTGTGAGAGCTAAACTTAAAATGGCTGGTAACGGATCTGCTAGCTGGACAGAGGGACGTAAAGAATGTATGCGGGTGGGGTTCAGGCTCTGGGCACTGGGGCTGAGTGTTAATTGAGTTTCAGGAATTTTTGGAAGAGTCTGCGCGTATGATATTGCAAATGGCTAAGCTGATACCGGCAGTCCTTAACCTCAAATTTACTTCTTATGGTCAAATAACCCCCCCATCACTGTGCAAGGAAAAAAAATTGCCATACATAACAGTGATGCAAATTCTCTCCTTCTCATCTTCATCACAGGCTACATTAGCGTCTTGGCAGTGGTATTGAGAACGACAAATAAGGCACCATGGGCCAACGAGTTTGAATGTAAGTATGAGGTCTTTTTCTCACAACAATCACTGAGGAAATGCAGATAATAAAGAATTTTCTTATTCTGACACTTTTTTGGTTGAAATCATGCAGAGTTTCTGTACAGTCTTTCTCTCTTTTTTCTGTGTAGCAATTGAGCTGCCTTGCCTGATAGAGTCGATCTCCACAGCCAATCCCAGGATAGAGTGGAAGAAGATTAAGAATGGAGAACAACCAAGTTATGTCTATTATGAGAAAAAAATCTCAGGTAATCTCAACAAAGCATTCTATGACAGAGATGACTATACTGGACTCCGTCTGAGTTTAGATACAATTTTGGACTTCATATCATATCATTTACTTATGACCTAAATGTTTTTGTCTCATTTCGCAACTACAGTTTTGCAGCAGTTACTAAGTAACACACAAACATATACGTTGCTAATCCTTTAGCAATAATCTGGTAAAGTAGGGCATTGAAATTGGGGATGGGCGATATGGCAAAAATGTATCACAATACGTACAATGTACAACTTATAATGCAGCTTCAACAGTGCATTTTTACAATACAAGATATGTATAATTACTCTTTAGTTTTTGAGATTGGAAGTCGGAACAGACAAAATAGAGCCTGTAGTGGCAAATATAAAAAATTCTATAATAATAATAAATCTACAATGATTTTTATTCAAAAATTTTTTAAAAATATATTTTATTTCAAACTGCATTGAATACAGTTAAACAGGCCCAGTTGTGCTTTGACATTATCCACAGTGTGCTTAGAAAAGCATGCTGTGACATAATTTATCACAATAACGATAAAATGTCATCTCATTGCCTACCCTTAATCAAGACCATTTCTTTCAGGCTGAGTACATGATTTTAGTACCCGCTGTTACTGATTCTGATACCATAATGAATAACCAACTTAGAATTTTGTAGTTTTTGGTATAAATGAGTGCAACGTACCTAAAGAGTTAAATCTTTAAAACCTGGCTGATGTTAAATGACATTCAATAGCATTGTATGCCTGGCGGGAATATGCCAACGCAGAATGTTTAAAGTGACCTACAACAATTGCCATGGAGTCAGCAACACTTTGCTGTGCAAGTAGTTTCTCATTCACTGCCAGTTTGAGTTTTGCGTTGTAATGTACACTTGGTATCAGGTGGGATCAGATGCTGATGGTGGTGCATTTTTATGAGTAAATGAGCATGGTATTGGGCCAATACCTGATACCAGTATCAGTATCGATGCATCCCTACGGTGAAGTATAGATTGTGTCCCTGGTGAGACATATTAAAGTGAATTTTGTTTCCTTTAGGTGACTTGGAGAACAGAGCATGGCTCAGAGAACCAGCAACTTTGGTCATTTCTAATACAACGAGATCAGACACTGCATCTTATCGCTGTGAGGTCACTGCCCCCAGTGACCAGAAAACGTTTGATGAGATTCTGATAGACCTCAGAATAAGAGGTGAGTGAAAAGCACTTACTAAGGAATAAGCAATATTGGGTAAAGATACAAACAGAATACAGGACTTTCTGGAGGTGCTTTCTGGCATATTATTATGAACAGTAGTTTGGTTTTTATTTCTTATGGGTTTTAATTTGTGTCATGGGGACCACATGTGCATTATTTCCCAGTCAGCAAGAGCATCTGAACCTGGCTTGCAAACAATTTGCTTGCCCTATTTTGTGTTACAAATGTTATAGTTGACCAGGCACAGCATATAGGGCAGACTGTGCCAAGACTAAGGATAGATTAATGCATAGGGTGGGTTAGCTGTCAAATTTGAAAGCTATGCATTACAAGTATACAAATATAACTGCCTCATTGAATCTTTAAACTTTTAACTTTTTTTTTAACATATGCCATAATAATAGTATCTCAGCACTCATAATAATGTCATAGTAATATTACTATTATTTATATCCCTGAGCCCCTTGACTACACCATTAGCAGTTAATAGGATAGTGTTTGTCTTCTCTGAAGTGGTGTTAGTATTTACCGAGTAGCAATGCTGTAAGCTGAGCCGGAGCACTCTGTCCTGCCCGCCCTTGGCGCACATTCGAGGATGCTTTCTGCCCTGCCTCAGCCTCGGGCGTGTCTATGGCTATATGGGGAAATCTCTGAAACTGCAGCTGAGTTTAATCAGAAAGCTAAAAGGGGAAAGAGCACTGTTCTAGACTGCCTGGGATGCTTAAAGGCATGAATGCTTGGCTGTAAGTCTTGCTGTGCCGCGTGCCTCAGAGGATGCTCCATCTGAACCAAGAACTCTGACTTTATCTCGAGCTCTGTTCGAGCTGGATTTTTACCTGGAGAAGTGCTATAATTGAAGTGATTACTGATGAGATGCGTGATATTAATCCAGTACAAATGTGTAGTGTCCATAGTTTTAAAAGTCTGATTGTAGTAATTCCAGATCAAATTGCCTTTTTGTAGTAGGAGTCCTGTTTAAATTTGCCTCAAGATAATAACAAAACTTGTTAATAGACTGCTGTACGATATGTTGTTTTTGTTAGTCAGTGTACCATCTGTACATCTGGAGTATGACATATCTCAGTCTATCTAAGGGAATCTTTCTGGACTATCTAGACAATCTTTAAGGAAGTTACTCAAATACTTTATTTTGTATGAATCAGCCAGTCTGATCATTTGCAAACTACATTACAAAACCTCTTCTGGTCAAACTAATCCAGTGTTTCATTTTGCTGGGTTCTGTGCTGTATTGCAGTGAAGCCAGTGACTCCCACATGCTCCGTGCCCAAGTCCGTTCCAGTGGGGAAGTCGGCTGAGTTGTCCTGCGTGGAGGACGAGGGCTTCCCCAGGTCTCAGTACCAGTGGTTCCGCAACACGGAGGAGATACCAGAAGACCCCAAGAGCAGCCCCAAGTTCTTCAACTCGTCCTATGTACTGAACGGGGAATCAGGCACGCTGGTGAGTGCTGGGGCTGTGCAGGATGCGGCCGAGGGGCTGGGAGGCGCAGGGGCCTGGCGCCGGGCTTGGAGGAGGGATATTTTAGGGAGTCAGTTGATGTGTGACTGCTCCAGCCATGAGGGGAATCTGCTGTCCTAACTTGCACATTCCAAAGCGCCATGCGCCGCCATTCGCACTCGGTGGCCTGCCCTGGCCACTCAACCTTCATGTTGACCTCTAAAGCTTGCCCTGGCTTTCACTGACTCCCACACTCTCCCTTGGAGGAGACACAGTCCACAATGCAGCCCGCTTAACTGTACAGCCTGTAATATCTAGGGCTACAAATAACAACTATTTATATAATCACTTAACCTATAGACTATTATTTGATTATTAATGTACATTCCTCAGTTCCTCTCGTTTTGGCCACCACCATCATTTAAAGTTCTGCCTGTATGACCAGCAGTTTATCATATTGGCCCCAGTGTTTCCGGTAGTGTATTGTGGTCTGTTTGTATGTACATGTGTATCACAAACATTTTAGAGCAGGGTATTCATTTTGAGCACAGTTTGTCGATTTCAACTGTTCTGTAATGCTCTAACATTTGATTCAGTTAAATAAATACATACAGGTGTAGACATTGAGGCTTTTTTTCTGAAGTGAACAGTGAACACAGAGGTAAAGAGCAGAGAATTGAAGAGAAATGACACGATGATTCAGAAATTAAGTGCAAATGAGCGCAATAAGGTGTTAACCTAAGTAAGCCTGAAGAGGTCTTCAGACAATGCTGGAAGGAACTAAGTGACTATGAAATGCAGGGTTCAGGGGGAGTTCGTTCCACAACTGAGGACACTAAAGGAGCCAGACTTAGCCTTATGGGCATACAACACTACCACTGGTCCATAGGCCTGTTCGCCGAGGACCTTACCTTTTGCCGTTTACATTCTTAGTAGTGCTTGACCTGCTTGACTTAACTCCCTTTAGCAAAAGATCTTAGCAGTGCTTTGTGGCCTATATGTGCACAGCAGGAAACAACCCTTTCAGAAGATTTGCACTCTGCTGCCTGTTTAACACAGGCATGCACACAAAGAGGCAAGTGCTCAGGGTCATGTTATTTATTTCCCCTGCAGAAATTTAGCGCTGTGAGGAAAGAGGATGCTGGGCAGTATTACTGCAGAGCTAAAAACGATGCAGGAGTTTCCGTGTGTACCCCACAGATGATGGAAGTCTGTAAGTCTCTCACTTACCTCTATCACGTCATAAATACAAGTGTAAAATTTTGCATCTTCCTCCTAGCCTTCACAATGCCCTCATGCTTCCCTCTTTTTCCAGATGACATTAACATTGCTGGCATTGTCCTGGGCGTGCTGGTGGTTGTGGTGGTTCTCTTGTGCATAACAGTGGGCATCTTCTGTGCATACAGAAGGGGATACTTCGCCAGCCAGAAGCAGATGGGAAGCAAGTAGGTGACAAAGGAAAAGAGCCTTTCCTGCTATTTCAGACTGATTCACAGACACATCTCAAAGCTGTTTACCACTTTTAGTCAATGCTATTTTAAAGCGGTTTTCATCTTGTCCTGGGGCCCTGTTCCTCATCTCAAATTTATGAACATTGTGAGCTGATATTTAACATTTTTCCATTAACACTTTATTGGAATCCTGCTACATATCGTTGACATAACCATGCCATAAACATGCCATGGAAAATGTCATATCCTGTCGTGAGTTGTCATGACTTTCTTGAGTAACATAACAGTATCTTGTTATCAGTAATTGTCTTGACATATGTAATAATGTTTGATGTCACGCCCGCTTATGTCACATGCTTAATTTACTGTCATGACAAATAAACAGAATAGTAACATGACACTGGACGTAATCTGTCATGACCACTCACAAAAGCATATGACATCTGCCATGGCATGCACAGTTACATCAATGTTATGTAGCAGGGTTCAAGTAAAGTGCTATCACTTTTTGGTCCCTTTGTTCTCTGTGCTTGCCTGAACACAAATCTGAAGATTTTTCAAATCAATTAAACCGTATAGATAAAAAAATTAATACTGATTTTGAAACAATATAATCGTAAATAAAAGTATGAAAGATACATATAACAATTCAAATGATTACTGTTAGATGTTCATTCAACATGCTTCTATACAAATATTCATCGCTTCTGACCAATCACAAGTTCTATGGCATTTTTTGTAATACTACATTGAGATGTTGGGCATAAATATGGAGTAAATATGGAAATGAGATCAGAACTGTGACTAAAACTATGCCTATTAATGCAAAATATCAACTAAATCAAGATAATTAAGAGTGTAGTCTGTCTTTTTCTGATGTGGTAATAAAGTTTAACAGCGGGTGTAGCTGTGTGATTTTGTTCAAATCAAAACCAAAAGTAATGTCTGCTTTGTGTTGTAGTTACAAAACTCCAGGGAAGGGTGATGGAGTAGATTATGTCAGAACAGAAGATGAGGTGAGATAAAACAGTTCCATGCAGACCTGCTGAGAACAACATATCTTTCCAGTGAGTTTGTTTTGAAGATGCAGAATTCTTCTTGTGCTGCTCACTCCCTCTGACCTCCTTTCTTTTAGGGGGATTTCCGGCACAAATCCTCGTTCGTCATCTGAGTCGAGGCAATGAGAAAGACATAGAAACACATTGGAGAAATGAGCGCAATACCTCGCGGACACAGCCCCCCCACATTGAGGAGAGACTATTAGCTGCCACAGAACGTGCCTTGCTTCATGGCACATCTGCAACAACACTTATTCATATTTGCCAAAGCTGACAATTTATCACAAACTGCTGTTTCCAGCAAGCATTAATCTCTGTATTAGTATCACTGAAGGTTTTTTGTCTCTTTAAACCTACTTTTCACCCCTTTTATCATGAACAAATACAGCTTTTCTTTCTATTCAGTAACAGCTTATTAGTAAACTGCAGCTAACAAATTCTAAGGTTTCAGTAGAAAGTAACATATTTCTATTGTAAACATTGGATTTAAAAGTGTTTATATAACTTTTGTTTTGTACCAGCTAAACATGTCAGTATATTTTTGATGGAATATATTTTGAAATGCCTATAGAAAAAGGTTTACTTTTATAAATGTTTGTAATTACTAACATGGAAGCCAGTATGTTTTCTAGACCAATTTGGTGTTTGAAAGAAATTAATAACCACTTTAACCACACTGTAGTTGCTTTTAGTAAGCCCTAAATATTCCTTTAATGTCATAGGACACTTGACCTTAGTTCTGCTATTTTTTGATTTAATATGAGTTTCAGTAGCATATCCAATTATATAGTTTTCAGAGGTCTTACATAATTACTTTACTGCTGGGATCTAAATAGTGCTAGTGTAAGGTTCCATGTTAATGTTTGTAGATAGTGTTAGACGGTGAGATTCTTAGAGTAAACACCAGCAGAAAGCTGGGAAACACTGTAAACAGCCAGTGCTGCGTATCCTTGATTAAAAGTGTCCTTCTATGCTTGTTTTTCATCTTGTACATAGTGAATATAATGTCCAGGTTGTGTTTTTTGTTTTTCTTTTTCTTTTTTTCTTTTTCAAGTGAGGAATATTCTCAGTATTACTTTTTAATAAAACAGGGTTTTTATTTTGGCTAACAAAAAGCTGTGCTGGTTGTACATAGATCCATTGTTACCAATCCTGGCAATATGAACAGTGGTCATTTAAGTTCAAATGTAAAACATCCAGACATACAGGCAAGTATGATGCTCTTTCCATGGTGTAAAGTGGACTAACTACCTGTAAGCCCGGTCATGGTAGAGAGAGGATGTGCCTCGTAGGCCACATTTGAAGACCTAAAATACAATTTGACTAATTGTGTTCGCTAATTTTCTTTATCTCTAACAGCGGTAAACTGGCGATTCAGTCAGAACTTGAAATAACATTTTAAGAGTATTTGACGTACAATCATAGCTGAATAGTCATACTTCATATATAACAGCCATTTTTGATAGTTTCAACGTTCCAGTTGATTAAACATAAATCATTCCTCTTAAGTGCCTTCCAATGTGGTCATATGATACTGATGCTCAAAACATTGTATCTTTTGACTTAATCTATACTGTGACCTTCAATTGGACACTTCACTGTTCAATCCAACTGTTTTCAAATCAGTTTATAATACATTTAAGTCAGAACAGCAGGTGTTTGAGAGGAATGATAGCATGCTGTGTTCACCAACTCCTAAACTACTACTTTGGATATTCTGATTTACAGTACATATCTGACTTGCTGTTTTCTGTAAATAGATTGTTGTGCATCGATTTGATTACCTTTTTGTCACTTAATTAGAAATAGAGATCTACTACGTATTAGTGCCTAAATATAGAGTGAAGTAATGTTCCATGAAGCACGGAGCACTACTATTAATCCGACAGTTATACACTCAGAGACAAATGTACTTTTTCCACTAGACACATACGTACATGAAATTTAGAGTGGGACATATACATACACTGATTTGATAGTGGCAGTTTGGACATTTATACCACTAAAAGTGAACCTGCATTACTGGATTGTTGAGATGGCCATGGTAAACAAGTGAGATTTTTTTTTTATATATAAACAAATATAAATGGAGTAGAGAGCTTAACCAAATAATGACTGCCAAAAGAGCATTATCTTCAGTTTCAGTATTGTCCTGCACCCACATCTTGGGAGTAAAGTTCTGTAAAGGTTAAATTCACATTCTCTCCTTTTTACTTTCTGAGGGTTTATGGTTGTATTCAGAACTTTTAACTGAAACGAATTTCATTCACTAATTTCATGTGACGCCCTGTTGGTTTGGCGCTGGTACAAATCCTGTGTGAATTCTTGAACAGTAGACCATGTATGTTTGTGATTAATAAAACTCACTTCTTAAGATGCGTCTTTACTGTTCTTTTACCGCAAGGTGGATGAAGTTAGAAGATAAGCAAACACTAAAACAAAATGTCTTTCTGGCTAGGTCATATTTTCTGTAGTTAAAAACAAAAGCTAAGTTAGCTTCAGCTCGTAGGAGTCAGACAAATACCAGCGCTATCCTTTCACTTCCTGTTACTGTATGAAAACTGTAGGAAAATCACAGGAAAATCACAGGAATTCCTTTTGTCGTCAACTGATTGAAATAACACATGAATACAGAGAATAGTCTGTCCTACTTTGATGTTTTCATTGTTATATAATGCTTCTGTATAACCATTTATTTAAACTAGGGTACAGTGTATATATGAGGAGCTCCACAGCATTGTTGAAAATAAACTCAAAATGGAGACACTATACATGGAAAATGGGACTCCTAACAACCATGTAAGACCTGGTAGACCACCAAACCTGTCACCATCAGATAAACAGTATCTAAAGCTTTCATCTTCGTGAGATTGAGCTGCACTCTTGCTTTAGATCTGAAAAAAGGAAATAGACAAATATGCAAATCAAACAACAAAGGTGCTGGTGGTGTTAGAACAATGAAAATGACTACCCCAGTCCAGACCTACACATCACTGAACATGTTTGAGATTACTTGGAGCATGAGAAGCAGAAAATGCAACCAACTTCTAAGACTGAACTTCTAGGTGTGGAAAAATATCCCTGCAGATTTCTTTGAAAAGCCGAAAACACATCTCCCAAAAAGAATGGATGCTGTACTAAAGGTAAAGGGGACACACACTAAACGAAATATGATTTTATTCTCAATTTTTTGGGATTTTTTTTTTTGTTAAATATGTTTCTTGCATTTTTCCTAACACTGAAAAAAGAAAACATACATAATGACTGGAAATTAAATAAATGAAAAGTGGTGATATGCACAGTACTGTGTTTTAGGGCATTTGAATGTCCTTAGTCACTAAAGAGGATGTTACCACTGTCATATAAACAGTTCTGGTACACACTGTTCCCATATGTTGAGTCTGCTGACTTATTTTAGTAGCAGACAAGTGTTAGCACAAGTGTAGCACCAGTCCCTTGTTTGCACACAGGAATGCACCAACGAGTCCATCACTCGTTAGAATGTGAAGTTTGTGGCATGCAGGAGCTCCTGAGTCACTTCAGAGCATGATCGTTCTGATGGGAGTCAGGCGTGGATGTGCCTCTCGGTCAAACCTGACAAGTGAGATGAGAGAAGAGAGAGGAGGGAGCAAGACATTGAGTGCAACTTCATGTGCAGAGAAATGATCTGTTTACTTGTTATGAAGCATTAATTTAACCCTTGTGTAGTAAAAATGACAGGGAAGTCAACATTTGGAATCAGAACCCAGGGCCAGTAGGGCATCACTCACTAATGGAATCCTAGCAGCTGCATCTTGCCAGGGGTGGATATAGCGATTCTGTGGCTCTCGACAAAAGACAGGAATGGGGTCCCCTGGGTGGACATTTGTAAATTAGTTGAGGCTCTGGGCTCCAAAATGGTGTAGTCTGCAAAAAACAATATCTTGAAAAGTAAAATGATCTCAAATCTAGTCAATATATCTAATATTTCTTCTTTTGAGATTGACTGATTATTTAAAAGTCCCATATCCTATATTTTTCTTGAAAGTTATTGTCCTGAGGTCCACTTAAAACGTTTGTGTGGGTTTAGGTACCAAAACAGCCATAATTCATTTTCACATGACCATTTTCCAACCTTTCTTTATCACTTTAACAGGCTGTTTTTGTCACTGTGCCTTTAAGGCTCATATGTAAATGAGCTCTGTTCTGATTGGTTGCCTTGTTTGTGCTTCATTCAAAAAGCATTCCAGGCTGAAACAGTACTTATAACTTTAGCATCAGTGGGAAGGGCTAAACTGCTGTAGGCTGAATGGGCAGATATATTTGTAAATGTAAATATTTAACATTTATGGTACTTCTAATCTGTTTTTTCATGGGGCCCTTGGTTTATGGGGGCCCTAGGCAGCTGCCTACCTTTGCCTATTGCCAAGACCACCCTGGCTCTCGCAATCGTGCTTGTGGGTCTTTCGGCTTCTTCACCAGTATGTTCAGGCTGTTCTCCAGGTCTGCTGCCAGCTGCCTGTCCTTCTCTGCAATCTTGCAGTGCCAGTAAGATCAACCGCCGACTACCAGTAGCAGCTGCTAGTTTGATTAGCTTTGTCTGGCTAATTTAATTAGGCCGCTAAACCTAACTCCAGAGCATTAGCATGTAACAAGGCTCATGGGACTAACTACAGTGTTCAACTAGATTTGAGATAAGAGAAAAAAGTGTAAGACTGAGTTTCCGGTGAACCATTCCTTTAACCTTTATCTGTTTTACCTCTGATGAAGTTTGTTTGACTAGTAAAAATTCCACACATCTGCACATTCCACACATTCGTTCATCGCCAGATAAGTGTTAACTCCTAACTTCAGTAAAGTCTGCATGTTTGTGGTGTGTAAATATACTTAAGGCACCCTGAGGCACTAGAGATCATTTTCTAAATGGTCTTCTTTGGTCCTGAGGAGGCAAAACAAGGGTTTAGTGGTAAACAGCGCCCTCTGGTGGTCATTTAAAAAGCGTACGTCAATGTCCTTTGAAACTATCGTCATTTCTGTTTGTTCAGACGCAATGTCAGACTGCATTTGTCTCATGCATGAAGACATTTGAACAGTTGCTTCAGAGGCTGCAGAATGTTTTTGCATGTTTTGTGTGCAAATGCCATTGGCTTGCCTTGATAAGGCCTTGATAAGATTTGCTGAATGTGCTGTCATTAATTGCAAGGCTTACAACACTGGAAGAGTTTCACTTCAAACAGAAGTTAATTTGATAACCATAAATTTGTTACTTTTAAAGAGCATAGGTCAAATAATTACAATAACAAGAATAAGAAGATGATGAAGAAGAAGAGGAATATCATTATTGTTGCCGTTATTGTCATAATTATTACAAAAATAACACTGAGAAGAAGAAAAAAATATGGTATTTGTCACATACATTAAAAGGCCTGTGTTCTTTTTTCTTATACATTATTATGAACATAATTTTTTTCAATTTCACTTTATCTCTTAGAATTAAACTGGGTGTTTTTGTTGCTGTGCCTTTCAAACCTGAAATATATAAATGAGCTCTGTTCTGACTGGCTGCCCTGTATTGTGTCTCATTCAAAATTCTCATTCTGGGCTAACTGAGCTGCTGTGGGTTGAAGAGGTGGATATATGTAAATATGTTGATTGTCATGACATCACAAAAATAATGAATTCAAGACAGGTGTTTCTGTGGCTTAATTTCCATATACGGAATGGGGGGTAAATTGTGTGTGTAACTGAATTTAGTGCGGTGCAGTAAGTGAAACGCTGAATAAAATCATTGTGCTCAGTTTTGTTAGTATTTTTAAATGTGGCACTGCCTTTTCTTTTTGTCCACTACAACTTATTGACTTACTTCAGGAAAACTAAATGCATATTGTGTATCATGAAAAGCATCATGATGTCATATTTTTGCCACATCACCCATCCCTGTGTCCATCCTGTGGTTTTGACACTCAGAAACACAGATCAACATTATTAACCTCTGTGAAATGATATCTTAGACTCTTGGCAAAATCTCAAGCAAAGAAGAGCCTACAAATGACTATAGATGCTCCCCTAAAGCAATCTATAAATGGAAAACGAAGTTTCCCTCATTTTGGACAGAAGTGTTGTGGCAGGATATCAGTAAATTTTTGCTCCCTGAAAATGTTAAAATACACACATTATACAAACACACAGTTTTTATCCATGTAATGTCCTGCTTAATAACTTTAAAACTGATATTTCATCACAATGTTCTTTTTGCCATTCAGCTTTGGAAACTATTACTCACTTATTTTGTACCTGCATTTTCTCAAAGGTGGTATTCATGTCCCAACACACATTTATTTCTAGAAATGAGATGATGGTCTTGTTCCTAAACTATAATACTAATTCAAGTAGAATGAATGAGAATATGAAACTATATTAACCTTATTGGGCATATAAATAAATCTGGAATCATAGCATCGGGTCCTAATTTTAGGCTGTTCTGCAATTACCTGAATTTGTTTTATGATTCCTTATTACAAATACAACAGAAAAAAAGCTAAGAAAATACATCTCTTCTGTCAAAGCAGCACTATATAATATTTTTGTTCAAACTAAAAGAAGCAGCATTACTGAGTATGGAGAAGAAATATTACACTAAAATATGGTGTGTGTGTGTGTTGCTGTGAGTTCCCTATAAAGCCTGAAATAATCATTTAAAAATCAGGTGTACTGGGACAATCTGTGAACACAGTTCATCACTGCATCTGCAAATGCAAGTTAAAGTCCACCTTTCATGAATCAAAATTTGAAATTCACCCACAAAAAAAAAAGAAAAAGAAAAAAAAAAATTGGCGCGTTATGAAATGAAAAATATGACAAAGGAGACCCTGAACTGTTGAGCAGCTGAAATACTATATCAAGCAAGAATAGGAAAACATTTCACCTTCAAAACAGCAGTCGGTCTCCTCAGTTCCCAAACGCTCACAGTATGTTGTTAAGAGAAGAGGTAATGAAGTGGTAAACATGCACCTGCTCAAACTTTTTTAAACATGTTGCTGGCATCAATTTTAAAATCGGCATATATTTAAAAAAAAACAACGAATTTCTCAGTTTGAACATTTGATATGTTGTCTCTGTACTATTTTCAATTAAATATAGGGTTTAATTTCCTCATCGATGCATTCTGTTTTTATTTACACAGGCTTTAAAGAAGATCCAACTTCATGTTTAGGTCTCAAAGGTCTTTCTTTTTTATTTTACATTATTTTATTTTACTTTGTCATTTATGTATTGGTTTATGTGTCGACCTGTTATTAAAATAGGTTCTGTATAATTTTGTATGTTTAAATATTTCCAGATGCAGTTGGAGCTTTACGTTTACCCCAAAATACAAAAAACATACTATATTTAATAAATAAAAAAGAAGAGCCTGAGCCATTTTACCTTGTGCTGCTTGTAGCCCTGATCTGGTTTTCACACGTCGCTCCAGCTGGTGGCGCTGTGCTCACTTCATGATCTTGAACGTCCAGCAACGCAGAACCAGAAGAAACCCGGAGCCGCAAAGCCCGTTCAGTGTCGCGTGAATATGAGCGAGCGCTGCTGCTTCTCCCTCAGTCAGCAGCGTCTACGGCAGCCTGAGCTCATCGGCCGTTCATCTCACCCTCGTTAGCTAATCACGACATGGCTGTCGCTGAAGAGATTCGCTCCTGCTCTTCTGGGTAAGAATCTCCGGGTGTAGTTAAGAGTAGCAGACTAATGGAGTGCAGTAGCTAACAGACTGACCGGCTGTACTGCCGCATGACCGGTAACGTTATTTGGCCTGGCCAGTCAATGAGGAGACTCAGCTAACGCCTATCATTCCACCGAGAGGGCTGTTATGCTCATACGTTCTCTGCTGCATGCTACGTCTATGTGTTTTCGAAGATTGTTTACTGTAATATTGGCAGAACCGTATTAGCTAAGGATGCTGGTTAGCTAGCACAGCTGGAATCAGACCGTCCAGATGTGCCTTATTATAACCAGTGTCGTATGAACACCTTTAACAAGGCTTTTAGTCACTGGTCTGTTCTCTCATGGTGTGACCATGCAGGACATTTTCCCTTTTTCCTCTAATACAATACAATCCAATTTAATACAATATACAATACAATAAATAAATAATAAAGGTGAATTAATGGGTCATTGACCTTACAAAACTATTAAAGTTTTCCTAAATCTAATATTTGAAACCTGGCTTGTGGCTAAATAAGGTTCTTATAGACTATAAATTATTGTTAATTAGAGACCATCGGCCTACATGTAGTTTTGTTCTTTTTAATGGGCAGGAAGGGGCGTGAGAGCCTCCTGTTGTAGCTGGCTCTGTGTGGACACGACCGCCACCGTGGAAGAAAACAGCAGCTCTTGGCGGCAGGCCTACACAAACTCGGGCTACAGCCCCCCTCCAACATCACCCGAACACTTGTGCAAGGCCTGCGGAGGCCAGTTTGACACCGCAAGGAGGGTAAGACATGCACGGATCTGGTCCCTGAATTGGTCGTTTAGTATGGTGTTCCATCTGATTTTCAGACCAAACCTGACTGTGGAAACGCAGAGGGAATCGCTGCATTGCAGATAGCCTTAGAGCAGTTCTAGATATTGACCAAGATTATAGCTGCCCCACTGACAGTTCAGCATACAAGGGCAGCATTTGTGTATGGCAGAGGTTGGCAACTGCTATACATATCCAAAGCTATCCAGACACCTTTTTAAACCGTTTAAATCAGCTTTCAGTCAGCCTTAATTAATCTTAAGGTGCACCCATTGCTGACACAATTACGCACACACACAGCTTGCATAATCTCCATTAAAAAAAGCATTGCCAATAGAATAGGATGATGTGGAACTGCTGCACATAAGCCTATGGTCACCCTGACCAGGCTTCAGCTAGAGTAAAGCCCCCCAGCAGTGGGCTGTGGAGCAGTGTTCTCTGGTGTGATAGAGCACCATCCAGTACCTTTGGCATGAGTTGGAGTAGTGTTTGTGATCTAGAACTACTCATCCAACATCAGCACCTGATCTCACTAATATTCTTGTGGCTGAATGCAATCAAATTCTCACGGCAATGTTCCAACATCTAGAGTGAAGCCTCTCAAAAGACTGTTACTACAGCAAAGGAGGACAAACTCTCTATTAGTAGCTTTGATTTCAAAAGAAACGCTGGATGAGCGTGTGTCCACAAACTTTTGGACATTTAGTGTATGAGCCAGAAGTCCATTAAAGGAGATCTAGGATCAGATTTCCCATGCTCTTTAGGCTGGTTCTAAATGTATGACACTTTTTGATGGTTGCTATGGAACCACGTGGTTATGTTGCATTGATGCATGAAGTGATGCTGGTAGAGATCAACTGTAGCTAAATTGATTACTAAGTGTCTGCATATTGGCAGGATAAGACCACTCACCATTTCAATTTCATAGAATGTGTGCGTGGACTGCAGGAAGCAGTTCTGTGGCCGCTGCTGGGTGCAGCCAGAGCTCAGGCTGTGCCACACCTGCCAGCGCTTCCACGGCACGCACTTTGAGCGGAGCGAGCTGATGCGGCTGAAGGTCAAGGAGCTCCGTGACTATCTCCACCTGCATGAGATCCCCACACAGACATGTCGCGAGAAGGAGGAGCTGGTGGAGCTGGTGCTGGGTCAACACACCCCCAGCAGCAGCAGCAGCAGCAGCAGCAGCAGCAACAACTCTGTCTCCCACCCAGCGGCACTGGACCCTCCACAACCCCCCACACCTCCCTCCCAATCAGCTGAGGAACCTGAGGAGTTCACAGAGGAGGAGGAGGGTGAAGATGAGGACGAAGAGGATGATGACGATGAGGTACACAGTTTTATATATTTGCGTTAACCAGCCTTAAACTATGTCCATAAATATTTGATGTCATAAGTATCGTGCAGATAAAAATTGTTCATATAAATTAGTAGATCAAGCTTATTTTGCCATTTTTTACTCTAATTCTCATTACTACAGCCTGTCCATGTGTGTTTATCATTATTGATATTTAGCATTGTTTTGCATTTTAAATTAGAAACAAGAGTTTATATTATTTTCAACTTCTGAATGTCTTAAAGCTGCAGTATGTAAGATTTTTCTGTTAAAACTGAAAGAATTAGTGTTGCTCAGGAGACAAAAAAGCATGCTAATAGACTTATTTGGAAGATGTCATACATCTTTATGTATTAGCATCAAGCACAAGCTCAAAAAGAAGGTCTGTCGTGATGTTACGTATCAAATGCAAAATCAACATCATACTGACAAAGATATGGTGGCAGTAGTAGGTAATGCACATACATTCTCAGAATGAGTTCTCTTTAAATACTCTTTCAGTGCACTCACGATTGTCAGATTCATCCGCTTGGCAAATGTTCTTCTGCACGTTATTTGCAATTACACATTTCCACAAGAGAAGTATCCAAATCTAAACATCTTACATAGTGTTGCTTTAATGTTTTCCCTGTAAACTCTACAAAATGTTGTGTGGCACCATAAAAAAACTAAAAGAAAAAAACTCAAAGGCTATCAATGTATTGTGTTAATGAGATAAAACCACAAAATGCATACATTTTAATAATGTGTGTGTAGAAAAGACATTATTTTTCTTAAAAAGTGTTAGTCACGGATCATGAGAATAACCCATTTGTGTCTGTGCGTGTTTATATATAATAGATTAGAAACCTTGTAATTTTGTTATTCATCAATTTACATTACACAAATGTTTGTGTAAATACATAACTAATTAAATTGTTAGATACGTAATGAATTAAATTAGTTTGCATTTACATCCAGTTTACATTTTGTATCAACGGGTTCAAGTCTGCACTTCCAACTACCTTCTGTTTGTTCCAGTGTCAAAATATGACAAAAACATGGCAAATATGTAAATTATGTGTTTCTTTCCACAAAACAATGTGCACAACAATAACATCATCAAATTCAAATCACAATCAGAACATGATGTCTTATATGAACAAGCACAAATGTGATATCCATTGCACTTCGAACAGAATTTCAAAGCTTGTTCCAAAGAGATATGAGGGACAAATAATTAAACAAACGTGCTAGTGGGATTCATCCTGTACATCACTTTGGCAGAATTGTTATTATTAATTCCTTTTTTAAATTGTCTTTTGAATATTCCGACAGTGCACACTTAATTCAAAAACATAATGTTTGTAATTTTGTGACAAACCGTGTGTTTGTGTTTGATTCAGTCCACAGATAGTGAGGAGACGCTGGTGCACAGCCATCGGGCGTCTCTGTCTGATCTGAGCAGCGTGCAGGACATCGAGGGCCTCAGTGTGCGGCAGCTGAAGGAAATCCTAGCGCGGAACTTTGTGAACTACAAGGGCTGCTGTGAGAAGTGGGAGCTGATGGAGAGGGTCACACGGCTCTTTAATGACCAGAAAGACCTCCACAACCTGGGTGAGACAAAGTACTATCACTACATTCTGTTGGTGTGTTCGTTGTACTCTATAGTAGAAGATATACCAAGAGTTTTGTTCTTATTTATTCAGTATGGCCTTCTTGTGGCGTTTAGTTTTTCTAGACAGACTACAGAGTAGACAGTCATTCGGAAGAGATTTACATTTCTTGTGTGAACAGAATACTGATGAATTCATGTTCATTTACTATTATAACATTTTACTCTTTTATTTTCAGTTTCGAACACTAAAAAGGAAACGGGTACAGGTATGTATTGTTGCATACTTGTATATCTTATGTATATACTACTGTTTAAAATGTGAATCTTATGTAGGTGTATTTCTTATAAACTAGACACCAAGAGGTATTTAATGTTTAAGAGAAGACGAGAAGACGTTATTAAATTATAAGTAATGTACTGTAATTATGTGGTTACAATAAATTTGATCTATAATTTGATCACCATGTTTGAAGTACAAAGTGTTCTGGACGTTCATTTTATTGTAGACTCAGCCTCACAGTCCATATCTGTGGACAGAGCTGTGGACAGAGCTTTTGAGGCTGAAGCTATAACAAAAAGAAAGTCCAGAAATGTTTCTGTATTGATTGAATGCACATCAATGCACCAGGTTTAATCTGTCTGATGGAAAAAAAACTTTGGCAAGAAGTTACCTGCTCTGCCTGCCGTGGCATGCATTTCGAAACAAGATGAAGTTCTTGGACTAAAATAAATTTGTGAATTTCACAGTATCACACATTTAAAAGTTGTTAAAGAGAAGTTTTCTTTGAAGAGTTTAGTACAGGGGTGTCAAACTCATTTTAGGCAACAGCCACATTACAGTCAAATGTAAAGTGGGCCAGTGATAATAACACATCAACAGTTCCTTATAAATGTGTTAATTTTATAGTAATTTACCTGAAAGGTACATTCTGAGTGATCAAACAAATATCACCTACAAAACAGATTAGACAATCAGATTAAAGTGAGTCGGTGCAACATTAGACACTGAGCTATGTCATCTTTCGCACAAGGTTTTTTTAGCAAATCTCAAAGATTGCAAAGGATTTCACACATATGAGTGCATCAATATTTATCTTCAAACAGAATGTTTTAATGTCAATGCTGTACAGTCCTGTGTGATCTGACTAAGCTAAGAAAAGCTCATGTAGCTTGCTAACAGATCATAGTGTTAATCTTGTTATCTAAGGTTAATTATCATTAGACATCGTATTTTAAATTTTTAGCAAATTCAGTAACATAGATTTAACTGAGTTTAACTGACCTGAGCTGTTTGTTCATAGTTTTGATACTGAGCTGTGAGTGTGATCTTCCACATTGTTGAATCCAAAGCTTTTTAAGTTTCTGCATTTAAATAAAACACACAACCATCAGGATAGCGTGTGTCAAACATTACACGTTCCTCAGCAACACTTTTTTTAGTATTTCTTGGTCTAATAATTCTGGCTAATTTACTGCCACCACCATAAACTGGCTTGTGAAGCTAATTGTATTTTTTATTTTATTCCTATTGATATATCCATTTTCTGGATATCTATTTTTTCCTAGCTTCACAGTACACCTATGAAGATGCAAAGAAACAGCATATTAGAATTAATTTAAGCATTTGTCTGCCACCAAATTGGTCATTGAAATCATCAATTCCAAACTACTGAATGCTAATGTATGTAATTGTATAGAATAGCATAGTATTTTACTGTAGTGGTGTGCTGAAATATGTCTCCCTGTGTGTGTAGCAGAGCCAGCTGAGCCCAGTGGGCAGGAGGAAAACCTGTGTAAGATCTGCATGGACTCGCCCATCGACTGTGTGCTGCTGGAATGTGGCCATATGGTCACTTGCAGCAAGTGTGGGAAGCGCATGAGTGAGTGTCCCATCTGCAGACAGTACGTGGTGCGTGCAGTGCATGTCTTCAGATCTTGATGAAGAGCCACGAAGATCCAGAGCGCCTGCAGACCGCACACAACACTCTGCCCACTATCCCTGTGAGGAATCCTGAGAGTTATGGGGGTTCGGTCTCTGTTTGGTTGATTGTGCTCCTTTTTGTACCTGCACAGAAATTTTGTTGTTGATATTATGTTTTTCTTTTCTGTTTACTCCTGAGATTAAGTTCTCTTACCATCACAGCAGCTTGCGAGGATTCGGGTGTGTACATTTTGATTATTTGAGTTACATAGTGTTTGTTTTCTCATTGCTGTCAGCTTTGTGATGGCTCATTGTAGTTGGACAATGACAGGTTGAGTACAGGGTAAGGATATCAGCTCTGTGTGCGTATATATTATTTCTGTAATACTGTGTTTGGTACACTGTGGTTTACCAGTTGATCAGCAACTTATTAGTGTCATCGCCATGGCATGACTACAGCTTTGCAAAATCAGATGAAAAGCTAGTCTGTAGTCTTTATGTGCATTTCTGTGATCAGGTGCTACTTTCAAGCTTCTGTCTATTCCCAAAACAGAAGACATGGGCCTTATCTCTTCTGCTTCATCTTTTTCTCCTCCCGATGCATTTGCAGAAAGTGCTAGGTGGTGCTTGGATCAGCCACAAGATGGCAAAAGGAGGAAAGCCAAGCTCATAAGAGTCTGGCTTAAGTAAGGAAGCTGTTATCTCCATTGCTTTCACATTGCTTCTTATGCACAGCTGACAGTTCAGATAAGCTGATGGTTTCTGGATGGTTCCATGGTCTTCCCTCAAATCTGCTCAGCTGTAACACTAGCCTTGTCTGTGTTTGCTACAAGGTGCTCTTATTACTGCCCACAAATCCACTTAGTGCTCTAGAGTGGAGTGCTTTTTAACTCACTTGGTAGGCAACTTGGACACATTAAACCAATGCCGTGTATTCTAGGGCTTACCTAGAGTGAAACATGTTTATAGATACAATTGTAAATAATCTGTTTTTGGTGAATTGCAAACAATTTTTTGATTTTGGTTTATAGACAACTCATGATCATGGGTAACGCAACCTCATCATTAAGTGATATTAGGATTTGTTTTTGTTTGTTTGTTTGTTTATTGTTTGTATGCTTTTTTTCTAGATTATGAATGTATCGTATGGATTGTTTTGGTCTTAAAATGCTCTATTTCTGGGCGGATGATGCTTTTCTCCGAGCCATGGCCTGCTAGAAACTAATGCAGTTTATGTTTCTAATGGCATATCTTCTTCCACTGTAGGATTTAGAGACCTGGCCTCCATCTTTAATGGAGCTTTGTTTTGTATTAGATTAGCAGAGAAACACATATTCATTGACTGTTCATGATACAGTAAGTACAAGTATTTTAATTTATTTCTTTAAGTTGTTTAGTTACTCTGGCCTGTTTTGGCGGAAAGGCTTAGGGAAAAATCTAATTTACACAATTTGCCACTTACTCCAGATGTAGTCAGTCAGCTGAGACATGTTTGGTGTGCAAATTTTGCTTCTTTAGTGCTGAAGCTACAAGGCTAATGTTGCTAACAAATGCTAGAGGTCAGTAGTCACCCAAAATATTTTCCGTCAATACATCCCGAAAACGTCTCTTAACCTGCTCAAACCACAGCCAGGTCTTTGTTACGTATGCACAGTCAGTCAGTGATGTTTAAGGCACAGATTGACTCACTGTGAACTACAAAAATGAATAAAACTTCACCATGTAATTAAACTCAGCAGGCAGCCATATTGGACAACAGGTCCGTTATTTTTACAAATACTGATAATCTTGAATCTGAACAAACTGAAGGTATGTTTTAAAATAGAATCAACAGAAATGAGCCTGTAATCTAGAGTCCATATATCTGTGTGGCATTTCTGAACATGAAGGGGAGTCTGTGGAGGAGTCAGGTTTCGATACAATCTCTGATGTCTAACATGGCTGATTGCAGTGTTCAGTGAAGTTTTGTTCATTTTTATAGTTTACAGTAAGTCATACTGTATCCTAAACCACATTAACAAGTCTGCGCACCCTTAATATAGAATATAGATGCAATTTGAGAGGGTTGAGAGAAGTTTTGGGGATGTATTTATACTGAAAATATTTATATTGACTTCTAGTGCTGCCAGCAAAGTTAGTCTTGTAGCTCAAGCACTAAAATAAAAAAGGAAAATTTGGACATCACACCTGTCCTGGCTAATCAACTACATCTGGTTTAAGTGGAAAATGGTGTAAATTTCACTCTTCGCCCAATCATTCTTTTAGTGTCACATTGAGCATTATTAGAGGAGAGTAGGTTACGTTTTTATTCGTATGCATATAAAAAGTCTTTAACGGTTAACAGTCTGTTAGTGGTTTATGAGTAAATGTGAGATTACATGGCAAGGTTATCTTCTGTGCATTATCAATAATAGTGAAATTAACTATTGATGAAATTAAAATGTGTGCAAAATAAAAGCCCCCAAATAGATGCCCAAAAAAAACGTATATGTGCCAAGTTGAGTTGTTCTCTCTAAGTCTTCGGTAGTTTGTGTTTCTGTCTAAAGACGTAAGCGTAAACTATTGTGAATTTGAATATAAACCAAATCAAATTGTGTGAAGTAACAAAACAGCTGTTCATGCAAGGTAAAATGTTCTAGTATATGGGAAATCACAAAACTATGATATTGTATTTGGACTGATTTGTATTCACAGTCTTAGAAAACACTATATCTGTGTGGAATGCAATGATGACAAACCCTTAGACAAAGAAAAAACCTGCTGTTTTAGTGAAGCATTATATTGGACGTGTATCCTAAGATAATCCCATATGATATAAACCTATAATATTAAACTATAAGTAAGAGCTCTGCATGCATTCGCTGAAAAAGGATATGTGGTATACTGAAAAGCATTTGGGACTGCTCTTTTGGATCTTTATGTTGCCTTTTGATTCTAATTATACATTTATTTGTCCTTATGTTTTTGTCACTGTGAAATTGTTTCATAATCTTGACAGTAATCTCAGATCAACTGACACTGGTTAAGTTGGTTGTCTTGGATGTTTGCTATACATTTATCATATAACTCGCATGTGTAATCGACAGTGTTGTCTTGAATTGACAAAGCAGTGAGCAGACTGTGCTAAATCCTGATCTTATTCTAAAGACTACAAAGCTTCTGGGGTTTATAATTATGGAAAAGTATATATTTTTAAGATTTTGTTACTAGAAACTGTTGTTCTTGTGCAAATATTTGGTTTGACAGTTTTGTAACAATAAACTAACCTCTATCAGTCATTTGTGAATGTGCTGTGTGTAGTTGTAGCTTGAGGTCAGCAGAGGGAGACAAAGACTCACAGACAGGAGTTACTCTGCGCAACCCTGTATCCTTTCTCACGGGTGAGTTTTAGTTATGTCCTCTCAAAATATTACTCCATTAGTGCTTGTTGGAATCTCTTTTCTTTATGAATTAAGCTATATGTTGCGTAAATGTATGTAAACGTGTAATGCGAAGATATTTCCATCACAAGTGCAAACCCCCGCATACTGTTTCTGGTAACCATAGTAACGGGAGCACTAGGACCGAGAAAGGCTCCGAGATTTGCTCTGGGGAAAATGCACTTTGTTGCTGAGAGAACGGGAATTTTGAACCAAGCTGTCATTTCCATCGTCTTCCAGAGAGTAAATTAACACCCGGTGAGTTACTAGAAGTGCAGACAGTTGCGGCTAAGCAGCTACTTTGATTAAAAATGACTGTTAAGTAAGTAACTAGTTGTGTTCGGCTTCTTAACTAGCTAGCTAAGCTAACCAGTTATTTTTAACTAACCTAGCTACTAGCTAGCTAGCTAACTAGTTTTGGTTCACCTAGCTAATTTCATTAGCGTTGGTAGTTAACCTAGTTAGATTTATAATTCATCGTATTGTTCATTTAGATGGATCTGACTTAACATATGATCAAATTTCAAACTTCAATTAAACATGTTAAAAGTCTGACTTAAATTTTAAAGAGTGAGTCGGTTCTCTGTAACCTAGCTAGTTTAGCTCAGTCAGCAGAACGGTAGGTTAATCTACCATTAACGCTACTTATAACACGTTCTAGTGTTAATTCCTTGGTTTCTCCTTCTCACTGACTGGTTAGTGTATTAAATAGCTAAGTTATCCAGATGGCCAAGGCTCATGCGCAAATGAGAAGAGCATTTCATTGTATACATGCTGTATACTTTGCAGGCCAGTGAGATGCCTCGCTCCTCGGCTGTGGATGGATCTGTAAGTAGCCTTAATTTATCTTGTTTATTAGCTGTTTAAGACCATCGCCTCTTTCTATAATGTCTATGTATGTCTGTGAGTTAACAAACACGTTGACTGAGAAATTATGCGAGTTTGCAATTTTTTTAAAAAACACAGTCTAGGTTTACATAAAGGTGTGGATTAAAAAAAGCACAGGCGTCCCCAGAGTCAGTTTCCCGACTCCAACACACCTGACCCCGGCACATAAGGAGCTAATTAAATACGCAATGTATGGCCAAAAGTATATGGACACCTGATATATATATATATATATATATATATATATATATATATATGTATATGTATATATATATATATATATATATATATGTATATATATTTGGATGGTGGATCATTCTCAACACTGCAGTGACACTGACACTGGTGGTGTGTTAGTGTGTGTTGTGCTAGTATAAGTTGATCAGACACAGCAGTGCTGCTGGAGTTTTTAAACACCTCAGTATCACTTGCTGGACTGAAAATAGTCCACCAACCAAAAATATCCAGCTAGCAGCGTCCTGTGGGCAGCGTCCTGTGACCACTGATGTAGGACTAGAGAACGACCAAAACAAACTGTGTAGTAACAGATGAGCTGTCGTCTGTGACAGCTACAAGGCGGAATTATTCACAGTCCAGCAGTGACACTGAGGTGTTTAAAAACTCCAGCAGCACAGCTGTGTCTGATCCACTCAGACCAGCATACTCATGCCAGTGTCACTACAAATAATACCTGCTCTGTGGTGGTTCTATGAGGGTCCTGAACAAGGAAGAAATTGGTAAAAAGGGGTTAACAAAGAATGAAGAGAAACAGATGGACTGCGGTCTACGATTCTAGAACTACAAAGTGCACCTGAATGGTAAGTGGAGCTGATAAAGAAGGACAATGATTGTAGTTACAAGAAGGTGTATATAATGAAGTGGCTGGTTGGTGTGTATATATCACTAATACATGCATCCTTCTTGTTAGCAATATTTATTGCGAAGCTGTGTAACTGTGCTGTTTGCACACAACAGCATAATCCATTTAGACTAAAAAGACTAGGAATAACATTTTACTCTCTATGTATGATATGTAAGATGAGGGTATGAGCAGCTTATCGAGACTACTTTGTCTTGGACAAGCTCTGCTTTGTTGGGCTACAAATACCTGATCTGATCATGACTACGCAAACAAATAGAGTACCAAGAACAAGGAGGGTCATGTTTTAGATTATTCCAAGAAACGCACATTGGGTACTGAGTGCAAGGGTTTTAAAAGGGCAGATCTGATTTTTTTAGTGTTACTGATTTTGGTCAGAAACGCATTATATAGTGTAGTCAGGGCTACAAGCTGAATCAGGAAGTTCTAAAACTGACAGGAAGGATGTGGTCTGGTGGAGCAGTACACAAAGCAGCCATGCACAGAACTGCATACTTTTTACTAATCCTTACTGTTGTGTACTGTTAAAGAGGATACATTTAAGGTGTCATGATTTTTTTTTTACCTTTCACACTGGGTGACTCCCACTTTCTGTTGTACTCTAACAACAGAATATACCATCATAAAAGATCATAGAAATTGCAGTTCATGTTTGTGAATCTTTTGCATATCATCGAGTGAAGAAAACCTCTTAGAATTTATGATTTTAGGTAACATATAAAGTGAAGTGCATAGATTTGTGACTGAAATACAGTGTAACATCTCTGAACATAAAACGACTACAGAGAATCCCTCTTGGCAGTATCTTGTCCTTTTTTGAAAAGGAACCTATGCAGAGCATCCTGATTTGTGGTTAGATCGCTTCTTTACTGATTGTCTATAGAACAGTCATTACTGCTTGCATTACTGATACACACTCATAAATAATTATCAGCACATTCAGAACACTAGAAGATTGATGGACATCTCTCTAATTGTCCTCTACTTTCTACTTTTTGTAAGTTTGCTTCATTCATCCAGTTGCAGTATAGCATATTATATTTGCTTTTGGTTTAACATATATATTATAAGCTAATATACACTATATACCCAAAGGAACCAGACACCACTTGTAATTAGTGAATTCAGCTACTTTAAGGTGGCCCCATTGCTGATGCAGGTATTCAGTTGATACAGATACACACTTAAAAATATGGTTCTTCATATAGAACTCTGAACACTCAAAGAATCCTTTGCATGATTAAAGGGTTCTTTGCATTATGAAAAGCTTCTTTAAAATGATAGGTACAATGTCAAGCATGTAACAATAGTGTAACCCTTTTGGGTGCTATATAGAACCCTTTTCAAAAAGGTTCTATATAGAATCATATACAACACATTCTCTATCAGTCTGAAGAACGCTTTCATGATGCCAAGAACCCTTTAATTGTGCAAAGGGTTCTTTGAGTGCTCATTGTTCTATATAGAACCATTTTTTTTTTTTACCAAAGAACCCTTGAAGAACCACCTTTTTAAGAGCATTGCTAACAGAATGGGATGCTGTGAGACAGCTGCCCTTGAGTCTTGTCACCATGCCTCATGCCAAGCGTCAGCTACACTCTTAAAAAGCAATGGTTCATCAAGGGTTCTTTAGTAAAGACAGTGGTTCTCTATAGAATCACAAACACTCCTTAAACAAATGTTTTTTGCCTGGTGAAATGGTTATTTAGATTGATGGAGAATGTGTTGTGTATGATTTTTTTATGGAACCTTTTAGGGTTCTTCTATTTTTACAGGCTTGAGATCCTAACAATAGAAGAACCGTTTCCAAAAGGTTCTATATAGAACCATATACAACACATTGTCCGATAGTGTGAAGAACCATTTCACCACGTCCATAACGGAGAAAGTAACGGCTTAGTGATGTGGGTTTTCTTTAGAGAGTTCTAGTAGTTCTTTAGAGTTTCTCAGGCTGTTATATTAGTTTCTGGAACATATGTCACTACAGTGTAGCAGAGATCAGCGTATGATATAAATTCATGTCATAAATTGGCTCTTATTTGTTTTGTAGCGTTACAGCGCCCTGATTAGTCCGGCTGGTGTAAGCGGGGCCGTAGCCATAGCGACCGCGGAGTGGCCCTGTGCGGAGCATGCGCAGTACGTCAGCGCTAACCCAGTCCACCTCGTATCCTGTTTCTTAACGCGAGCTAACGGTGGCTGCACATATGGCCATCGCACGGCCTCGGGGCTTTTCTGTGTAGTTTCTTTGTTTGCTGACTTCACCGATGCGCGTTTAAAACGGCCCCGGTGAATAAGGAGGCTAACGTTTTGCCTGTTCGCCTCCATGAGAAGGCAGAAGAATGATCGCATCCTTATCCAGAGGAAATGTGCTGGACGTGCTGCAGGAGGGCTTCAATGAGGTAACACGACCAATGAAATCCAACCAAAACTTTACTGTCCGTTAGGTGTTGTATCCGCATTCCGTCTTTCGTAAATTTATTTTGTCCTGTATTGTTTAAACGGAGGACTGCGTAGAAGTTGCTTTTCTGGATCGAGCTGCTGTTTATTCGAGCAGAAATTCAGCTAACCGCTGCAAGTTGTCTTGAGAGTGAGATGAACTAGCAGACGTGTTTGAATGAAGTGGGACTGAGACGCTGTGGATAATATGGTGGTGTCGACAGCTGCCAGCCTTGTGTTAAAAGTCTTCAGTCCTCGCTGAAGCATTCTTTCTTCTTACTGTCAGACAAGTGCGAATTACCTCAGTAACCTTAACTAACTTGTTAACGTGCGGGATATAAGAAGCTACAGTGTCCTTTAGCCAACAGTACTGACCAGTGGAGCTGTCCACTAAATCTCTTGCCTAGATGATGATTAGTAACTAGTTAATGTATGATATCAAGAAGTAGGTTTGTAAGTTGGTGTGTTGAAAGGTTTGTGTATGTTTACTTGTACTGAATAAAAGACCACTGATACAAAAGCCAACATATTATGTGGGTTTGGCCTTTCAAGCATTAATTACTACAGACATCTATATCATTTTAAGCATTACCTCACTGACAGAGTGTGGGGTAGTGTTAAGTGCAAGATGTCCTACAGAGCCATATCCAGTCTCATAATGCAACACCTGTTAGACTGTTACTTGTAGCAGCTGCCACTGCATTTAACCGTAAAGAAGTCCAGTGGTGTCCTCAATGCCATGTGGCATTTGTTATGATCCTCAGCTGCTATGGGGCCTTCACACACTGGTGGTGCTTTATCTACTGCTGCAGGATGGAGTGACCCGGACAGCGCCGCAGTGGTGTGTTCAGTCGGCTTGGTCTCTGTGGGAACAAACTGCTAGCAAATTTTTTCGGCTGGTTGCACTGAGCTAGCATGGCATTCCAGCCATACAGCATGGTCAGCAGCTAACACAGCCTCACTGCTGAATGCTCCCTGTGTTAGGCATCCTTTCTTGGGAAGGCACCAATCTGGACCACTTTGAGCTTTTAGTGAGACAGATATGCTCCAGACAGGGCTTCCATTGTTCAAGGCAGCCCAGCGTATGCCAAATATGTACACTGTTTTCAGAGGCTTATTCAATTTGCTGAGTGGCCACTAAAATTTCTTTTTTGTTTACATGTAAAACCGCAAATGAGGAAAAAGTTGTGCCGTGCCAGCTTTTTTTAAGTTGACGTGGTTTCTCCTTTACCACTGTGCTACATATTCAGTCACAGTTTCATTTTTTTCTTCAGTTTTGAGCTTATATTCTAAAGAATGTTAGGGATCAGATGATGCAAACTGTTGTTAAACAATCTCAACTCAGACTTCATACCTGTTCATATGTATTAAGCTAGTCTGTACAAGTGATGAGATATTATTATCACTAGGTTAATACGATTTGTTTAAATAACTAGTTAAAAAAAAATCACAAGAGAATTGTATTATTTGAAGATTATTTTTAAATTCTAAAAGTGGTTCTATTTTGGAGAGCAGACATCTGTTTGACTGCCAGTGTAACAGAGTACCAATAATAATACTGGCTCACTGTTCTTGATAACAAGAAATTTAACTTGGTTTGTATATTTCTTTTCGGTTCAAGCAATGTATTGGATGACATCCCCTTGCATTCCCCCTGTCAAATTGAGTCCTGCTTATGCCACACAGATTTCTAGCTGTCACAGCTCAGGCTGACACACATAAGTCCAGTTTCTCGTAAAGGTTCATAGTATTAATGTGGAACTCCACCAGTTTTTCTCCTGTCCTGTTTCTTGTTCATGTCCTGTAAATTAAAAGGTTAAGACGTAAACGCAGTCATTCAGAGTGGTTTGATGTGAAATGCTCTGCTGAAGAATAATTTGCCGAAGTCATCAGAATCAGAATTGTTCACAGTAGTGGTGATGGGAACCAGACGTCTGAAGAGTTTAATGCCTTTAAAAGCTACATCACAGAATGTTATTACATGAAATGGCTTCAAGATACATACAGAGTGTTGTAAGACAAAATAGTCCCCATAGAAATTTTGTTTTTTTTTCAGATCTACCAGATCGATATTATCAACATTACATACAAAAATTCTGAAAGTGGTTTTTGATACTAAATAAAATGGCTAAATTTGTGGTGTAGAAATTGCAACCCCTGGTTCCAGTTACCACCATTTGAAAAAAATCCAAGTGTGTGAATTTCTTCTACAATGCAGCATTTCACAACAAACCTGTAAATTTGAATGGCATTGTTTACATCTTAATGATCGAACCATGCAGAAATTTTGAAAAATCAGTGGAATTCCCCTTTAAGATCATGTTAACTGTTAGAAAGAGTGTTTACTATGATGCTTACTCTACCATTTAACAATCTTTGGGCTAAGATGCTTTTGTGAAACCCAGTCTTTGAGTGCACATGAATCTTAAGTTTTTTTTCAGGCATTATATTATGATCTCAGTATTTCTTACACCTCTTACAGAACTTTAGCATCAGTCTCTGTAGTCTTATATTTATCAAAACTAGCAGTCTAGACTGAGTGCAGAATTTAATTTGCTGGAAAGTTATGGGAAAATGACCATTGTAGCTATATTAGCTCTTTTATCAAATATAAAATACCATAAAAATACCATTTCTCATACTTTTTATGATTTGTGTATTTGACCCTATTAACCATAAATATATGTCAGAGATAACATTTAACCATATGTGACAAAGATAATCCTTCTCCCAAGGAAAATAATTTGGGTCTGAAAGGCATAAGTTAAGCAGGGTATTTTCAAGAGCGAAGAATATGCTGCTCACATGTGTTTGAAGTTTACCCCTGCTCAGTATTCTCCAGTAGCACTTTTGAAAAACAGCTTTAGTTGACTGTATTATTTTGCCAGGAGGCAGAACTCTGCAGCAATCCTTAGTGAGGCACCACATCCCTGAATGTGCAGGGCTGGATTCTCTATGTGTCCGTACATGTACTGGCTGTAGGGAAATAGAAGCTAAGCCTTCATGTTGTGGTGAGGCAGAAAACTACAAGTCACACTAATCCTGGCTGTTGAACCCGGGCATCACAGACCAGGCCGAGTGAATGGGGAGGGATTTGTCCTGTCAGAGGATGTGAGTCTTGAGCTCTTAGAGATAAAGCTTGTTTGACAATTGGCATTTCAGCAGGCATCATGGCAGAGGCACCCAGTGTACCCTTCGTCAGTGTGCCTGTGTGAATGAAAAGGCTTTCATCAAAGTTCATGATTTAAATTAATTTCACTTTTCCTGGATTTGCATTTTTTCTGGATTGGTTTATATAGAATGATAAAGAAGACACTGAAAAGTAAATATTGTGATTACAGTACCTCTGTTCATTTCACTGTAAAATGATAAATAAATGCACAGCACAGAGAAAATATAGACCAGTTAGCTTTGTTGCAGCAACATGTCTCTGTCGATGCTTTTTCTGTATTTTGTGTATTTTATAAGTGTTTAGTCAGAAGTCAGAGATGGATTTAATGTTATTTTAACTGACCTCAGTGCTGATTTCATTGCTGTTGTAATGTGGATGCATTTGTGCAGATGTTGTTACATTATTCAGCATTGCATTTCCAGCAACAGCTGGCGGCATATGTTTCCTGGGTCAATGCCCAGCTGAGGAAGAAGCCCGGTGTGAACCCCGTGAGTGACCTCCGGCAGGATCTTAGAGATGGTGTGGTGTTGACCCACCTCATTGAGATTGTGGGTAAGGCAGCATAGTGACAAACATCAGAACATTGCCATGGTGCTTGTATCAAGCTTTTGATGATTTTGAGTACCTTTACAGTACAAAGGTCAGAGACCACGCTTCTTTTATTTAATTCTCAACAATTACATATAATATGAAACTTTTCAGTTCTTCGTGTGTCCACTGGTCACCTTTATTACACCGTTCATTCTTTGCGAGAGACCTGTGTTTTTATTTTTATTTTTTTAAAGAAATCTGCAGCGATATTTCTCCCTCCAAAGTTTAGTCTTAGAAGTTGGTTGCATTTTCTGCTTCTCACGATCCAAGTAATCCCAAACATATAGTGATGTTGAGGCCTGGGCAAATTTTCTTCTTTTCTGTCTATTTCTTTTTCTCAGTAACGGCTGCTTGACAGCTACACATCCTTTCAGACCCGTAGTGTTGAGTTATGTCATAGTGGAAGGATGGACAGAAACACCTGTGAATTTTTCAGATCTGAAGCAATAATGGAGCTTGGTTGTGTCCTGTCTCTCAAAGATGAAAGGTTTAAGTACTGTCGATCTGATGGTGACAGTTTTGGTTCTGTGCCAAGTCTTGCACTGTTGTTACTAGGCCAGTTTTTAAATATTTTTTGAATCATAATTTTTAAATCTTTTAACTTGTACTTAAGGGATGTTTTGACTGGAAATTAAATAAATAAAGGTTGGTCTCTTACTTTTGTTCAGTACTGCACATTTGGTTTAATTTCATTTTGAAGCGTTTATTTGATGATGTGGCATAACATATTGTGCACTTTTTGCATAGATTAGTTCCAACCCCAGCTTAACACACCTTGCACAGTTATTGGGTTACTAGTCCTTAGGTGGATCAGGTTGGCAGATTAGGGTTGGAGCTAAACTCTGCAGGAGGGCATCTCTCCAGAAGCAGCCTTAGAGATGACTGTTTGGCTAGGCAATAGAATAAAATGGAGAAAGTCAAATAAAAACTATGATATAAGGCAATATAAAATACTGTTATTCATTCTCCTGTTTAGCTGTAGTGTTCTCGGATTCTGTTCTTACTTACAAAATATCTTTGCTATAAATGCTACAAAACTAATTTTAGGTGTAGGCTTACATAGCCTGTTATATGACTTTCATCTTTTTGTATGGTAGCTGGTGAACTGCTTGAGGGTATTCACTACTCACCGAGAGACAACCAAGAGAAGAAAGAGAATGTTGAGAAAGTTCTGCAGTTTGTATCATCCAAGCGGATACGCATGCCCCAGACCTCTGCCAGAGGTAAGTAACTCAGCAGGTGCCAATTAGGTTAACTTCTATAGACACGTACTCTGGCCTTTTCCTGAGTATGTCTTTCTATATCCTCTTTCTCTGTTTATCTCTCTCTATTCATAGACATTGTGGAAGGGAACCTCAAATCTGCCATGAGGCTCATCTTGGCCCTGGCAGCACATTTTAAGCCATCTGCCTCAGCCAATCACAGAGCAGGCCTTGGTGTGGGTAGGAGCTCTGCAGGGTCTTTGGCCAATCACAGGCCTCATTCCACTATGGCCATGGCTCAGAACGCAGCAGCAGCTCTGGCAGCGGCCAGACATGATGCCTCCTGCTCGGGCCGCAGTGTCCTCCACCTCAGACAAGACTGGCACAGGTCAGCTTTTGTTTATGCCTCAATTAGATCTATCTTTTTGTCTTACTGTCTTGTAAACAGATCCTATACAAATACATGATTATAACACCATTCATTTGTTGTTTACATCATGGTAGCATTATTTTGTTCTATATTTGTTCTTCACATATAAATAATTTGAATTTAAATAATAAAAGTCCTGTTCTCAGAGTACAGTTTGATACTAGTTCTAGCTGCAGTATAAGACTGCATATAAATGAATTTAACATGAGATAGATAAAAACCTCAAAGTAATTTGATTAGTTGAGCATTGTCAAATTCAGTCATGCCCCAGTCATGCCTTCGTAGGCTTGCACAACAGATGAAAGTACTCAGTAACTGTGTCGCAGGATGTTTATTCTCTACACAGGCTTGTGTAAAGAGGAGAGCGTGTGAGGACCGAGGAGATCTGTTACTTAAGACCTGCTCTGTTTTAAGTGGATTAAGAGGATAGAAGCTGTGCTCTCCCTCTCACTTTAAGAGGATTCATTGGTTTTGCTCGCTATGCAGAATGTTGCCCTCTTCTTGTTGTCTGCATGTACTGCAGCTCAGTTGTTAAAGGGTAAACGGAAAAAAGCCACAAATCCACATACACTTCATTCAAAACCATAATTAGCATCTCTGTCATTTATGGAAAAAGCTGTGACACATTGTGGTGGATGTTTTTTTTTGTTCTTGAAGACATTTGCTTGCAAGGATAACAGTTTAAGCTGAGGACATTTAAATAGCAGTTGGCTGTATTCTAGATGAAGCAGTGGTGTAGATGAAGTCATTTTTTTAGCCCTGGGATAAAATGACTGAAATATGGTCTTCTAAACCCTCTCTGGGTTTACTTTAAACCACTGCTGATTTAAAGCAACTTCCAAGCTGATCTTCATTCCCTGTTTCCCCTTCAGCCGAAGCTCCAGTGGTGATGAGGAGATTGAGAACCCATGCTGGAGTGTGCGTGCCTTGGTTCAGCAGTATGAGGGACAGAAAGGAACATCTGAGGAAGACCCCGAGTTGGAACCTTCTAGGTGAGACCAAGGCATCCTAATGGAAATGCCTGATGTGGTGTAAGAGTACGTAGCAGTTGCCCACTGTAAAATTTAAAACTCTGGGAAACAAGCAAGCTGTTTGCCTTGTCGATCTTATGAATTAGATATTAATGGTATGCTCGGTGGCCCTGCGATGGACTGGCGACCTGTCCAGGGTGTATCCTGCCTTCCGCCCGATGACAGCTGGGATAGGCTCCAGCACCCCACCGCGACCCAGAAGGATAAGCGGTTTAGATGATGGATGGATGGATGAATGGTATGCTCGGTGGTCATAGATTGTCTAGTTAAACATTTGGTTTATTATTCCAGGCATAAACCATTATTGCTGTTTTTAACTCCAACAACAGTATTTTGATAGCACCCGTAGGCGGACCCATGGTGCGCAGAAAGCTATGTGAAGAATGTAAACATGAAAGCAAAATGACAGGAATGGAAATATTAGTCTCATTTGTGTGATGTTGCTATTTTATGTGTGTATTTCTGTGCTTTTTCCCTTTTCCCATTTCAGCATGCCGTAAACTTGGGCTGAATGATTTGGAGAAAATATCTAATTGTCGTTTTTCCGACTAATATTGCAACTGCAGTTTAAATTGTGATTATTTTTTATAAATTGAGGTTCAGGCCTGATTTTTTTTGTTTCTTTTGGCTAAGAAGACCACAATATCCACCTTTTCTGGCTTGGGGTTTGGCCCCTGAACATAGTGTGCCAGACTGACAATAAGTTGTGGTTGTGATGTCACAACGCATGGATGTTTGGTTGCCTCTGATTGGTCTAACTTATCTACAGGCGTTTTACAAGCTCTGTGTTCTTAAGTTCAGTTTCGCCTGTTTAAATGTTTTTGGTAATGTACGCGCTTTAAAATGATGGTTTTCAAGGGATCTTCAGTAAAGACAGTGGTTCTATGTAAAACCATGAACAACCAAAGGCCCATTTGCATACTTGAAGAGTTTTTTGCATGCAGAAATGGTTCTTCAGATTGATGGAGAATGTGTTGTATATGGTTCTATGTAGCACCTTTTTGCAAAGGGTTCTGTATAGCACCAAAAAGGTTCTTCTGTTGTTACAAGCTTGACACCGTACCAATAGCAGAACCCATTTTGGTGCTATATAAAACCATATACAACACATTCTCCATCAGTCTAAGGAACCATTTCACCATGCAAAGAACCCTTAAGCATGAAATCGTTCTTTGAGTGTTCATGGTTCTACATAGAGTGATTGTCTTTAATAAGGAACCATATTTTTTAAGAATATAGACTATAATTTAAAAAATTTGCAGCTCTTGTGATTTGAAAATTGCACTCCTAAATTGCGATTTGGATATAAAAACAGTTCATTTTTCAGCCCTTCTGTGGAGCAGTTTCACATTGTGATCCCAAACTTCAACATGTTGGAACCTGTCCAGTTGTATTGGAGCAGTGGTTGCTCAGGTGCTCCTTCATACAGGCACGAGCTGAGCAGCTGCTCTGGGCCTGTGAGCCCTGTCCTCAGGCCCGTCCGTCAGGCCTGTTGGCACAGCTGGCTCTCTCTCAGCCATTGGGAACAATAGCGACTTTCTGTTCACTCCCCTGGAAACACCCAGCCTCACTCTGCACATTGTCAGTCCAGCTCAGAGCTTCTCTTGTTCAGATTAAAGTTCCAACACACCCTGCAGCACCTTATCACAAGTGCCTCATTCTCCTCGCTGCTTTTATGAGCAGTGCCTGGGATGGATGACAGGCAAGAGGCTGCCTCCCGAGGGCTAGGTGCTGTTTGTTTTGTAAATGTGGGATGTTGCTGGGATATTGTGCCCATTGATGCTCTCTGAGGCGCCAGTATGCCTTATCATGCTTTAAGATATTGCCTTGCTACTGATAACAAGGAAATATGTGACTCTGCATTTATATTAGCCCTTTGCATGCTGTGCTGTTAAAATTAGTTCAAGCGATATGGACCTTGTTTGTTCCACTAAGTGACCTTTAGTTAGCTTTACCTTCTTCCAGCATTTGGGCTGAGGGATGTGATTATAAAAGGATTGGAATGTTTAAGGTGCTCTCGCTTATTAGCCTTGGGTCGATAATTGATAATATAATGGAGATTTATGCTGGTTGTATGGTTAGTACAGAAATGTATTCAATAAAAAAAAGCGTAATTATAGGTTATACAAAGAGAATATCACCAAATTATCAGCAACACATGCAGACTTTGAATGCCACTTGGAAAGATTACAATATGCATTTTCTGTTGGGCAAAAAATGCTGGGGAATATGCAAATGAAAAAAGAAACTTTAGTACATGAGATACTTTCCAGGTGTGTGTGTTAGTGCTACACTGGAGTTATTCTGCTTTTTTTTCTTCGTCCCCATTGTTGCCATTATGTACCTTTTGTTATTGTTTAGCACACTGTAGTTTAAATCTCAAATTGTCACATGAATTAGGGGACATCTGCAAAACAGTACAGTGTGTTGTAACAGTGAGAGAAGCTATTCGAAAGTGTAATCTATGAGGACAGCTGGAGGCTATGTAAGCACACACTGAGCATGGAGTGATAACTTGACAAAAGTTGGTTTGGTCAGCAAGAGCACAGCTGAAGATGTCAGTCTGAGGATGGATGTTGATAACCAACGCCTTTGTCAAGTACTTTTACAGGAACAGTGCCCCCTATTGACCAATAACAGTACATTCCAACTTAGCACAAGACACAAAACAGTTGGAATAAGTCTAAAACAAGGAATCCCAAATACCAGAGAAATGGCACAGTGTTCTTACCTAATTGAGTTCCTTTGCCTAGTGCACTTATTTAATTCAGGCTTAACCATTTCTTTATGGAGGAAAAAGAAAATTCTCTTAAATTTTAATTTAGATTTTTCCTGAATGTTTCTGCTGAAGTGATAAAAGTATGGCATGGCCTCCAGTAAGCTGTCTACTAGCAAAGCTGTCTGAGTGTTCTGTGTTCTTCTGTTTCTTCTTGCCTTTTTAAATTACACATTCCCTCCTCCCTCAATCCCACTTACCCAAGTGATCCTCTACAGAGACCAGGCTGGGGGGGCCTTGAGAGAGAGAGAGAAGAGGTGGAGGGAGGAGTTGAGAAACAGGGGGAGGGGAAAGAGAGGAGGGCTGAGCCATTTCTGACATCTCTGCAAGAGAAAGAGGCGAGAAAGAGAGTGTGAGTGCAAGCAAAAGAAAAACAGGAGCAACCTGGCTGTGTTTTTTCAGCGACTGAGAGCTTTATGGGTCTGGCTGCAAATAGCAGTTAACATGAATGGGGAGTAGTCTGAGAGGAGAAGACTCACAGACAGACTGCCAGGGAGAGAGAGAGAGGCAGGATACAGCTGCCGTAGCGACACAGCAGTGCCTCTCTCCTCTGTAATTGAAGCGGGGAGTGAAAACAGGATTTCCATATGTGCCACGTCGGGAGCAGCTGAAGAGCGGATCACACTCAAAGGTTTTTTAACTGACCACATGCTGGGCAGAAGCATATTTAGCTTTGACATATTCATTTTAAAGGGTCTACTTGGAGCACCGAGGTTTGGGTGGTAATTTGCGTGTTGTCAAGTTGTCAATGGACAGTTTTAGGAAGTTTCGGCTACTGTCTCCCTCTGTTTTCTGCCAGTCTGGGGATTTATCAGTGAACCCAGACAAGTGTTTCTGTTTGTGTACAAGATGCTGGTGAGCAGCTTTCTAGCCCTTGTTACGTGGATGAACAGAAGCAGTGCAGTGGGGTAGCAACTTAAAGCCGACATGGGAGCAAAACAAATTAAATGGTAAGACTTCATTGACAGCATGTTTCCTTAAATTGTAAATCATCATTTAGAACTTATTAGTACTCTTGGAAAATCATCATGTGCATGCCAGATTCTGATATGTAGTTTAGATTGTTATTAATTAACAGGGCATTTTCTTCTAAATTGATCATGTAGTTGCTTCTCTGGTCTCTTACTGTGGGCTGAATGCTGTGTTGTGTGGGAGAAAGTTCCCTGTACCGTGTCCCACTTCTGATTGTCAGCATAATTAGTACAAAGGAGCGCTGTGGATGTCTCTGACAGCACGTGGCCCAGAGGACCAGGGCTGTATTTTAGAAAGCTGTATTTGATTTGACATTGCCATCACTTTGCTGAAGCTCTTGAAAATAAGCAGCCATTCTGCTTGAGTAGAATGTCACATGGAACTGCAGTTTGATTTAAGTGCTGAGTTTGACAGTTTAGTTTAGTAATTTTTTTTTTTTTGTCTGTACAGACTGTCAGCACAGTGCAGTGTTGTTTTATGTGACGTCAGACACAGGTGGAGTCTGTAGTTCAGACCTGTGTATGGGTTTGACATTGTCTTGGAGAATAAGGTTGTACTCATTGGTGTGTGTTGTTTGCTACAAACTAGGGCTGCTAGATAAATGATATTTTTATCGGTATTACGATATGAGTTTCCACAAAAAACAATAAGCAAAAATATTATACACACACACGCACATTAAATGCTGTTGTGTGTGTGTGTGTATATGTATGTATGTATGTATGTGTATGTGTGTAATATATATATATATATATATATATATACACACACAACAGCATTTAATGTCTATGCAATGCAGCCCACCCACATGCTGAAATTTAATTTAATATCTTATGTAGGTTTTTATATAAGACATGTTGGGTTTTTCCTCTGTGTTCAGTGCTTTTTGAACAATTGAGAAAAGGTGGGGTACATCTGTCTGAAGTAATGTTCAGCATGCTCAGTCATGAAATTTGAGTGCTTATAATAGCAAAAGGTCACTCTTCCTCTCCCTTGACCCTTTTGAACAGGCGTAGAAGTTTTGTTGTGTCAACATTTTTCAGCGCAGTGGCTGCTGTGTTTAAAAAAAACATGAATTTCTGGGACCTGTGCCAAATGCCAAAGTGTAAATACACTGTTTTAATGGGCTTCCTGTGATTATATCTAATCACTGCTAGTTTAATGTGGGGTGTTTAAAGAGCCCTCGCAAGAAACGTCAGAAGAGTCTTCAGATATTTTTCTAGAGAGATAGCGAGCGAATTCCAGCAAGTGTAGAGATTTTCTCCTATCATTAGCAGTTTGGGAAGGATCACAGCATGCTCACTTATAGATCATCAGTTCCTGCAGGGAAAGGGTCTAAAAGCCAGTATACACTGAATGCACTGTGAGACAGCACTGTGTGTAATCAGACAACAGGCAGAGATGTCCCAGCTTACAGCAGCAGTTTATCACACAGTATCTGCCACATTCTTGGGGTACACGAACCTCAGCCAAGCTGCTCTGTGCAAGTGAGAAATGTAAACTGTTGTTTAATAATCATTGTGACATTGTTCCATCATTGTGCTGTAAATCCTGCACTTTGTAAAAGGTTTGTAAGAAGACATTTTCACAGCTTAGTAAAGGCTTTGATTTATGCTAGGAGCAAAAATAAAGCTGGTCTTTATTTTAAGCATGAGGATAGTGTTCTAGGTTTGCATGCTGTGGGTTTGCTAGTCACAGGCAACAATTATCCATCCCTAAGCTGTCTTTATTCATCTGGTTTGGCTTACCAAAAGAGAGGATGTTTTACAGAAGTCTACCCTGATATTCTTCACTTGAGGACATGCCTTTTGAAATGTCATGCTTGCACAATGTTCTCTCATGCTAAACGTATCAGTGTTCTTTCCAGGCAGTCAGTTGCACCATACCCTGAATTCATAGTTTGAGTGTGGGAGTCTGACCGCTGTTCAGAGATGTCTTCGGGTTTACTTAGATTAGATGAATAGCTCATTTCCCTCTGAATTAAATCAGCTTTGGTAGCTGCAGTAATGAGATCTGTAGAAAATAGCATTTGAAATTTACGTCACTTAAAATGATGACGGAGTAATAGGAAAGATGGGTGTGATAGTTTACATGAGTGATTCTGACATAGAGTGGACAGTAGAGCAAAAATGTATCAACATCTGCAGCTATATTGACAGTAACATCGGCCTGCATAGTAGACTGACTAGCAACTTCAAGAAAATAGTCTATATGAGGGCACTAAAAGCTTTGTAAGTCTTAACATTTTTAATTAAGAAATCCTGTTATTAAAGGAGAAGATTGGATCAAAATACATAAATAGCAGCTTATTTGACCTCTGCATTAAAGAGTTAAGAGCTGACCTTGTCAAAGTTCATTTAAAATAAAGCAATGCTGCATCAGTTATAGAATTCAAATGAATATATTATCAAAATTTCAGAAATCCTCTCATTCACAGCACAATAAGATTTATACATATTGTCATGTTTCCAAGCCCTTATCCCAAACTTTGGGGTATGTAAGGGGGATTGACGGTATTGAGGGGGGTGAGGGTAAAACTCCAAAAGAGGCCACCCCCTCCCCTTTACCCACAACGTGAGAAAAAAAAAACAAAAGGCAGAAATGCAGAGTATGTCTCTTTCAGAGCCTCAGTCCTGTGTCCTGGTGCCTGGCTAAGGACAATGAGCCCCTCTAGCACAAATGCACACACACACAGCAGCAGCAATACAAAACAACTACTCCTCTGTTTGTTTGCAGAACTTGCATTGTTGTGGTGAAAAGAGATGAATTATGGCTCTGCTCCTCTCCTATCCCTGCTTCAGACACACAAGCACACAAAACAAAAATGGTGAAAATCTGCAGGGTTTTATTGCCTGCAGACAGATCACTGAGGGTTATGATTTACAACTCTACAGTGGTTAATCCATTCCAGCTTCTCTGAGAAAAAGTCTCTCTTGAAATCTCCAGTCTGTTAGGATCGGCCATGGGAGTTGCAGGTTTTTTTATGCAGGTTTCAGCAGCGCATGAACACAAACTCTCTAGAGGTTATTTAGCCCACAAGCTCTCAGAATGGCTATTGGCAGAAATGTCACTTTGGGTTATTGAAAGTGTAAGAGGAGCCAATGAGATTTACTTAATCCCTGCACAAGGAATGAAGCATATGGGGACAGTATTGATTAAGGGAACTCCTTTGTATTGCCTGATCATTTGTGGGGATGAGGTAGGGGTATATTAAATTAGGTTCTGTAGCTCAAATGTGATGTACACTCATAAGGGAGATTCTTCACCTCTTTGAAATCTCCTGAGAGACAGCTCTGGCAGCGCTGCAGTACAGTGACAAGTGTTGGGTTGAATTCAGATTTGAGTGCTGTGCTTCTGGATCTGGAGGGCTTGCCAGAGTCAACTTGCATTGCCAGGCTAACTCATCTGGAATACTTCCTACTGTACAGCAGCTAACTGATGATGGACATGTGGATCACAGAAAACATGTTTATTTAGACACCAGGCTACCAGCTTTCATTTGTAGCATTGGTCGCTTTCTCTTCAGATAAGAGATGCAATACAAATTTCATGCACAAGGTTCATCCATGGGCCGAAGCTTTTGAAGTGGGTCAGAAGTACATTATTTATATACCCTCAGATCAAACAAAACTGTTCCAGTGCAAACATGCAGTCTTCCAAATAATATTTATAATAAGATATAAAATGTTAATGTGTTATTTTGTGATTAAATAGCATGGTTTTGTGTTGTGTCAGATTTTCAGTGGGGGAACACAACATTGGGCACCTATTACTGGGCTGACTCTAGATGTCTCCATGACAACCCGTTTATAAAAGGCACTGTCCTTAGTTGCCACTAGACATGTTAATGTTTATTTATAGCCATGTGCCATATTTGGCTGCACGCTTTTGAGGTAGCATCAGCAAACCTTAATTGAACTGAGTAATGACAGGAGTGTTTTTCTGACCAATTTTTTATTGGCTTTAAAAGACAATGGCAATATTGCGACTCATAAAATAAGACTCCTAAATAAATTAGACCCCAGGCTCTGATGGTTCTGCTGTTTCTCCCTGTAACAGTAAGTTATTTCTTATGTACATCAGTAGCTGTCAATTAGAAAATCCGTGTGTTCTTTATGACCAGAAGTATTCCTTGATTATATTCAATTCCTTGCCACTGTAACTGCATTAAGAAGGTTTCTGCAGCGCAAGACAAAGGAGCTGCAGAGGAAAGTCCAAGGGGATAAGGGAAGCTTGGAGACGAACGCCCATGGCATCAGACATCACAGCTGCAATGTTTAAACAGGAACTATTGACAGCAGGCACTCCCAATCGATTGTTCCAGTGCTATATATACAGCAGTAAGAATTTGTTTGACAGTGTCAGGATAGTGTGCATGCCCCCTAAATAAATCTGAAGAGAACATGTTCGCTAATCATTAATCTGAAGGTGGCGGTTTAATGACATCAGTTTTGCGTTGTTGGAATCAGTTATAATTGATTATTATAGTATTCAGAGGTACACACCCAGTTTTTTGAAGTTTGAAAGTTGCAATATTGGTTTGGTTTTACTAAAATGTGCTGCTTCTTGAAAATAAATGTGCTGAAAATGTAAAAGTGCACTGTTTTTTTATCATATTTTGCAACTCTGTACATCGTTTCTCCAGTTCCATTGCTCAGCGTATTTTTAAAAACTTATTCTGAATCATGTCAAAACAATCTAATTGAACTGAATAATGATGACATTTGTGAATCTTAATCAAATTGAATCATTATTCTGTCAGAGATTAGCATCCCTGGTTTGTGTTCTTCGTATTTAGAGAAGAAAAAGGGCGCTGAGGTTATTTTGTTGTTGTTGTTGTTGTTGAGTAGCCTGATTTTGTCTTGGGAACAGAGGCTTAGCTCTTTACGTATTTTTTTTTTCTGTTCATTCAGCCTGAGCTCTCCCAGCCCCATCCACACCCCAAAAGACTGCGTCAGCCTATCAGAGGAAAAAGCACAGTTTTTGGACATCCAGTCAGGAGAACTCAAAGGTAATGCAAGAGGTGAATGCCCTTAAGAACAAAGACCATTCACCAAAGCGCTAAACCGTATCTGTGTATGAGTTTTGAACGTGCAGGATGGTGATGCATAAACAGACTAAGGTAAATAAACTCTTAAAAATCTAACAGGGTCAAGACTTCCCTTACCTGGAGTAAGAAGCTCCCCTGGTGAAACCTGCAGCAATTTATCAATTTTCTAATCTTTGCAAGTACAACACTAAAAATTTTACGTTTAAAAATATATTTAAATTGAAATTTGTCTAAATAATTCAGTTTTAAGTTATGACAGAGGGCAAATGACAGAAAAAAAACATTTGCAATGTCAAATTTGTAAAAAGTTATTTTGGTTAGACTACATTTTTATTAGTATTTGTTACTATTATTATTATATTATTATTATTATTTTAGCAGAAATAATAACTAACAATTTAAACAAAGCGATAGCATTCTGCATTTAATGGCAAGTGCAAATGATTAGTAGACATTACAAAATAAAAGGTATGAAAGTAACTTTGCTTGTCTGCAACACTCACCTAGAAATTCATGGATTGCTATTATCCAGTGAGGAAAAAAAAATATCACCTGACCCCAAGCATTTCCTGGAGTAATAAATAAATTCCAGGAATGCAGTGATCTGTGTGATATTTCAGAATTAATGAGACCATAGCCTTTTAGTAAAGATTAGATTTTGAGGGCATCTTACCCTTCAGGAATTTCAGGACTTGTACTACCTTGCCAAAATGGGGTAGTTTGGTGCTGTCTCCAGAGTACTGATGGATAAGGTTTGTCATAAAAGTACAGATTTGTCTGATTTGGTGCATCTTCTCCCTACTGCTACACAGATAGCATGGTTAAATTGGTTTCATGTGGCCCAGGATCTGCCTCAGAGCATGATGCGATATGTGTGCGGAGCTTTGCCTGGGAAGAACAGCTGTGGGAGCAGCAGGAGCAGCTGGAGAGGGAGATGGTGGAGGCCAGGAGAATGGTGTCCAGCTTACAGGTGACCTACTTGGCTGACACAGATCAACAACACATTTCAGAAATGGATGCTGAATTAGACGTGCATTCTCCAGGCTTGTTATGTATACTGGGCTAAATTTAAAGGTGGACCGTAAGGCAAAAATGTCAAGTCAAAGTATGTCAAGACATTTTTACAGTATGTATGTATGTATACACCTGCAAAGTAGTAGTGATGCAATAAAAAAGCTAGAAAACTATAATGCAGTGATTTTTTTAAGTGTAACTTAGTGAGCACCAAGTGTAACTAAAAGGCATCAAGTTTGGTGGTTGAAGTAGATCATCAAGCAGAAGGAATTGAGCTCAAGGATCATATGTTGTGATCATAAGAACTTGAAATGGCTCCTACCAATAGAGTGTGTGTGTGTGTGTGTATGTGTGTGGGTGTGTGTGTGTATGTGTGTGTGTGTGTGTGTGTGTGTGGGATTACAGGCTTTGCTTCTCCATGGATCATTACCTGAAGATGAGCAGGAGGTCTCACTTAGTTTGGGAGAGGGAGTGGAAAATGCAGAGCAACAGCTGGTATCTTTGTTTTTTCATTCTGGTTCTTTTACAGTGAGTCTTTACTTTTTTTTGCTAAAATGTTTCAGCCTTTTTACCCTCTGTATCTACTATGAGGCTGCTGTGCACTGTAAATTCTCTATATTCTTTCTCTTCTCTTTCACACTCACTCAATAGCCACTGTCTCACTTGGTTCTAGCAGGAAAGATCAGGTTACTCTGTGGTTAGCTTTGGGCTTTGCTTTGTGTGTGTGTGTGTGTGTGTGTGTGGAGTGCAGGTGTCCATTTCCTTTCCTCTCCATTCACCTGCTCCTCTCTCTAGCTCTGTCTCGACTTCATTTGGCCGTTTTCTCCCTCACACTGTTTCACGCCTTACCATTTGGTAATGTCCTTTTGCATGATAGGGTTCATTTGCTTTTCAACCTTTAAGTGAAGGAATTTGCTTTTCAACCTTTAAGTGAAGGAATGCTCTGTTATTCCGTGCAGGTAGTAATCCGCAGTCGTCTTGACCAGAGCATGGAGGAAAGTCAGGAACTGAAGGTAGGCTCTTTTTTGCATTCTTTTATTTTATTTTTTAATGTATTCTTATATTGGGGGAATCCTAGATTCTAGATGGCCTCTATCTCCTAGTGTTTTTCTTTGATTGTGTATCTTTGAACATTGCTTTTTCTTTTTCATTATGGTTGTTGTTTTTGTCCCGATCATTGGTTGTTGTCTGTCTGTCCTGTAGAGGGACCTGTTGAAGTACAAACAGGAGGCACGCAACCTTCAAGGAGTCAAAGTGAGTAATTTAGTCTCAGTACTTTCAATAGACCTTATGTAGACACATAACCCTTCATTCTTAAGAGCTCTGTGACAGGTCAGCATTTAAACTACAGACACACATCAGAGCTCACCCATTAAACTGCTGTGTAGTACGGCAGTATGTGGTGAGGGATGCAGAGGAGGGCTATGAATGTAATGGTGTGCTGTGTGCAGGATGCTCTCCAGCAGCGTATGGCTTTACAGGAGGCCTCTGTGCTCCAGCTTAAACAGGAACTCCTGCGCACCAGCATGAACCGGGACGAACTGGCTGGACAAAACGTGAGTCTGTGTGTATGTGATTGTTTGTGTGTGTAATGTAGGGCTATCACAATCGATTATATCTGTAATTGATACAAATTATTTTCACTAAGTTTTGATGGAGTTCTTTTTAAATACTGTCATCAGATTCATCATAGTGGCTTGAATCATTCATTTATTTTTGATTTGGTAAATCAAGCAATCAAGTTTAATCAGGTTAGTGTAACAGCCCCAGTGTAATATTTAATAGGTTGTTTGCAGTCATTTGATACTTCATGCGAAATCCAAATGGAGGGCAGGAAGTATCAAGCAGAATGGACGAGATGGAGGCAAGCCCGTATGGTGTCCATACTGACCTGTATCGAAACAAAATGTGTTTGCCAATGCACACAAGGAGAAAGATTGTTAAAGCAACACTGTTGTCTAATCTGGATTATGGTGATACACAGATGTGCATCTGTAACTACTCTCGAAACTTTAGACTCTGTACACCACTCTGCTTTAATATTCATTACTGGTGACCCCTACAATACTCATCACTGTATATTGTATGAAAAGGTTGGCTGGTCATCTATGGCTGTGCGTCCGAGAAAAAATTGGCTTCTATTTATCTATAAAGCACTTACTGGCCGTTGTATATCACAAAAATGCTCTGTGTAAATAATGCATTTTATCATTCATTCCAGTGATTGGATCACCCTTCAGGTGTCAAGACCTTTTACCAAACTGGGAAAGTCTACATTTAGCTACAGTGCACCAGCGAGCTAGAATTCACTACAGGACTCTCTAAAACTTTGCTCGCTGGTGTCACATAAACATTTCAAACTTTTAGTCTCTAAGCACCTCCACTCAGCCTGCAACTGTTTTATTTGATTTTAGTAGACTTTAAATTAGAATTTGGTATGTTTCAGTTTTGTGTAGCATTTATTATTCTTTTTATTTATTTCATTATCAACTTTTAAGTTACTGCCAAGTTACTGTTTTGCACTTACAGATGAAGGTTTGTGAGCCATTTTGCCGATTGTTGTTTTTTCTTGCATTTTTCACGTTTGTGAACATCAACTTTTATTACCGGATAAAAGCTTATCATGGTTTCTCTGTTAGATCGATTTGAACAACCATAAACAACGCAGAACATAAGCATTTTGAGAGCTTGTGATCATGATGTAAAAAATCACTTCCTGCTCTCCATCTGTGGTTGCCACAGCAACACAGTGACGTGACATAATTTGCAAACACCCTGTGCTTTGAATTATACCTTGTCTGGGGTTTTGTGGCTGTGTTTAATCAGTGTGTATATGATTTCCCAGGCTGAGCTCCAGAGGAAGCTAGAAGAGAGGAGCAGGCTTCTCAGTGAATATAAGGTACAAGTAGTCATTTTCCTGCTAAGTGTTGCTAATACAATTACACTACTTCTGTACTCCAAAGATAAGCAGTGAGGCAGGTTTCATCACCGCACAATTTCGTCACTGTACCGCACTAGTTGGTCAGTTGGACCTGTTCTTAGAAACATTTAACTAATTTACACTTAACACGCTATAGTTCAAAATCAGAACGGTGTTTGAGTAACGTGCATGTTATGCAGAAAGAATTGGGGCAAAAGGATCGCCTGATACAGCAGCAACAGCTCAAACTGGATGAAGCATTGCGCAAGCTGACAGATAGCAACAATCAGCAGGTACTAAACTAATAGTATACCTCAGAGCAAACTCACTTGGTGGCTTTCCAACAGATTCAGCTGTTCTCACCCCCTCTTTTCTGTAATGTCCAGGCTGACCTGCAGAGGGAGCTGGAGCACAAGCAGATGGTTCTTCAGGAGCTAATGAACCATGAGCAAAATGAGGTAAGACAAAAGCAACTAAAATACATTTTCTGCCTGTAATTATATGCAATAAAGAGCTTTTATTTTCATCCTTTGTTTTAGCTTCCTGGCGCTCAAAGCAATGGTTACTCTCACCCAGCAGCCTCAGAGCACAGTACAACACAATCACACAAAGGAGTAAGTAGCTGTCTTTTCCTCTTCTCTTAATGAGTTCAGCCATCAAAGGATCAAAGAGTTGAATTTTGTTGCATTTAAATTTCATTTAATAATAATTCATTTAATAATCTTCAAAGATATAACAAAACTGTTGTAAATATGAATAATTAAGCAGGACCAGCTCTGACAAATGTGCTTATTTACTTTTTCAATAGTTAAGCTCCACGTGCTTCAGAGGGCAAAAATGTAAACTCAAACATTCACCCATGATATTATTACCAAGGGGTAAAGTTGTGTGTTGAGGGACACATATGGCTTCTTTACAGTAGGTGTGTGTGTTGTAGGGCTAGCCCAAACAAGTTGTTCATTATATTGTTAATGAAGTCTCTGTTTAGTATTCGGAAGCTTTGTCTTATTTTCTTGGAGGCATTTCATCAGCAACTGTCTTTAGAAATTACAGGTATTGCTAAAGTACATTGAATGTTAAAAATAAATAGCTGGTTTACATTATAAATACATAATAAATTTGTGTTTGGTACATCATCTCTGAACGCGACAGAATGCACCACTTTCCATATGGCAGCAGAAGCTTAGAAGAGCAACTCAGCCTGCCTGTCATTTTTAACTGCAGTAACAAACGTTCTTAATTTTCATGTGAACATAGTTATTATTGTCTTTAAGGGTAATTTTGAGCATGAGTATTTTGTGTACACCAACAAATATTCAAATTGCTGTTGGGGCCAGTACTAATGGGTTTTGGTTGCGACAGTAAACCATGTGTTTCTGTCAGGCAGAGGAGCTGCAGTTGGTGCGAGATGCTCTGCGCAGCCTGAGGAACAGCTTTGCAGGTCACGACCCTCAACATCACACCCTGGACACGTTGGAGCAGGGCGTGGCCAGCCTTATGGACCGCCTCTACACACTGGACACACATCACAGGCAGGAGCGGAAGGTGGGGGATCAGCAATGTTTACACACACTGTGTACACAGTGCCTCATGACCCAGCCTGATAACGTCTTAATTAGTTCTGTCTCATAGAAAGCTGGACTTAGGGAAGTCTTTTTAACCCTTTGCAGGTGAGGGTGAAATCTCCAGGACACAAGGCCACTCACATAGACAGGGACTCCTGGCCTCCCAGTACCAGTAAGACTTTCTCTCATACACAGTGCTGTACCACTGACCTTGACTGACTGGGGAAGAAAGAAAATACAATGCTAATGAAGGAGTTAAGCTTTAGAATTACTTTTTATTTTTTATTTCAGCTTTTCATGACTGCCGAGTCAATGTTTCTAAAAGGTTTGCTCTGTAGGATGACTGGTATGGGTTCCTTCTGTTTCTGAAGCACAAATGGTACAGTGTAGGGCTGTCAAAATAAAAATTAAAATTTGAGTATTTGTTAAATGAAATATGCAGAATGTAGAAAATGTCTATTGGAATGCTTAAAGCAAACTGTGCTGCGTTTCCTAGTATGGCCTATTAGTTATTAACATTATCATATATGACAACTACCAAATGGAGGGAAGAGCATGTCATAGCTGACCGTAAATAAACAAAATAACAACAATTTTGGCTTCAATTAGAATTATTTGAAGGTATTAGAATTTTTGCAAACATTTAACAGCTTTTTAGCATTTGTCATTATGAATAAGACAACCTATTTATGAGTTGAATAATGCTAATAGGCAGAAATTGAATTGCTTTATATGGCAGAACATCCGAAGCAATATGTATGAATATAAGGTAGTGACTAAGCTGCTACACAGCCACTGCAGCCACCCGCACCAGTTACAGACTTTTACTTTCACTCCAATTGGTGTGCTCATATTTTCAGAACAGCCACGCTCTTTAGCTGATAATAATAATAATGATAGGATATCAGAGGCATGGGGATTTTATTAATGTCGTTACCTTTTTGACGGTCTTGTTGTGAGTCACGATCCCCAGGTTGACAATCACTGCTTTAAACACAGTGTGCTTTTCAGGAAGCTTGAAAGGTTATGCTGAGCACCACCTTGTGGAGATAGGAGACATAACATTGACTTAGATATTTAGCTTTTACTGCAGTTATGTATTCTACTTATTTTCTTAGTAGAGTATTTTTAAGCAATATATTTAAAATATGAATATATTCAAATATGTGACAAACAAACAAATGGAAACTTTGAATTTCTGATCCCATCTAATAGCCTTAGTTGCTACACACAAAAAGTAGCGAAGTTAGCTGCTTAGCTAAACACTGCCAAACACTATAGCCATCTATCCTGATTAGAGACTCTTTGCTACAACTCATTATGCATGTGTGTGCCTTCACATAGCCTCTCTGTGTTTTACCTCATAATGACAATGTGATACTATTTGTGTGGGAGATATCTTATGGAAAAGTCATTCTCAAGAATGTTATCAAAATTAAAGTCTATTAAAGTCTACTTTTTTCTCCAGCAACCATCTTACACAAACACCTTTTGTGTATGCTTGATATTTATGCTGAGCATACCCTTGTAGATATGAGACATTTTTTGCATCTAAAAAATATATTTTGAATGTATAGTTTGAATGTATTCAAATATTTGAAAAACAAGGAGAAAACATGAAGTTAATTTCTGAGACAGGCTGACAGACCTATCAGAATGAAAGTCATGCCTCTGTTATCTGTGTGCTTTGCTGCAGAAATGTCCCACTCTCACAGCAGCCCTGTGCTCAACTCTTCAGCCTGCACCAAGGTCCTCTACTTCACAGACCGTTCTCTCACCCCCTTCATGATCAACATCCCGAAGAGGTCGGTTTATCACTGCATTTTGTGACACATTTTTTTCTTTATATCTAGATTAAAAGCCAATACTATCAAATCATATATTTAATGTTGTTTCAGCATGTGATAGTTGTAATATATTAATTTGTATGTGTATGTGGTGGTGTCAGGTTAGGAGAAGTTACCCTTCGGGACTTCAAGGCGGCTATAGATCGAGAGGGCAGTTACAGGTATCATTTTAAAGCCCTGGACCCTGAATTTGGCACTGTGAAAGAGGAGGTATGCTGATGTCACTTCATTCATCATTCACAGCAGTTCTTTACACTTGAGCCTCATGCTGTTGACACTGTAGTTTTAAGTTGTCTTAATTTGTCTACTTCATCAACATAGTCCAAACTGTAAAAAAGCTGATTGCTTGACTGTTTTGCTGTGATAGCAGTGATGTAGCAAACATTGCAAAAAGGATTGCTGTTCAGTAGCACAGTGCAATGAAGCAGTGAATGAATTGTGAGGGCTGACTGCTTGCTTTTTGTAGGTATTCCAGGATGAAGCAGTAGTGCCAGGCTGGGAAGGCAAGATTGTGGCCTGGGTGGAGGAGGATCATGGGGAGGGGAGGTAAGGCGCATAAACATGCCTCTGTAAAAAAAGAAAAATGCACACAAATATCTTTGTATATTGAAAGAAGAAAGGCCATGTAAACATTTTTAACAGGAGGTTGTATTGCTGCATAATTGACAAACCAGAGTACTGTTGACAGTACATAGTAGCTTGGTTTATTGATTGGTCATTTTGCCAAGTGCACTTACTGCATACAATGGCCTCAAATAATATTTTGGACGTTTGCGCCATACCTAAAAATGTATTTTGTTCATTGTGCTAGGCAACGCAAGGTCAAACCAAGTTCAGTTTATTTTAAACAGACTATTCCTGTAATTTTCTTTTTGGCAACATAGTCTTTGAAAAGGTGGCTGGCGAGTTTTAGATTATTGTTTGAGTGGTTTGCGGGCTTATGCAGGTTTGCATTCAAAATGCCTTTGTATACTTTATGATCCCATCAATGAGCGCAAGCTCACCAACACCATTATAAGAGAAATAGCCCGAGACTTTGACGTTTCCACCTCTGTGCTTTACAGTATGCTTGGTTGGATTTTTTTTTTCCAGGCTTTCTCCACACAAGAGTCTATGATCAGTTACATGTTGTGTTAATAGGGTTACGGTTAGTGTTTTTCTCTGGAACAAATATCATTTTGTTAAATATTGTATGAAGTAACATAAATAACTTAATTAAAGTTTACCAGTGTTTGAATGGTTTAATTGCCCAAGTACTTTTGGGAGGCACTGGTAGGTACACTTGCTAGGAATATAATTACTGATTTTAGCCCAGCTGTTGTCATCCTCTACCGCAGAATAGTCCACCAACTAAAATATCTAACCAACAGTGGTCCTGTGGTGAGAAACTGGCCATTTTAAAGGGCTAGAGGATAACTAACACAAACTGTGCGTGATAAAAAGTGATCAACAATAAGGTGATAAAGTGGCCCATACATGTACCATTATTGGCACACCAGTGTACTGTACTGTTTAATGTCTTCATACCAGCTTACACTCTCTTTGTTTCTCTCCTCACAGGATCTAATTGGATGCCTGAGGAAAGGGAGGCACACTGGGATTTGATGGAGATGTGAAAAGATGTTGGAACTGTGCCAAACTGCCAAAATGAATGTGCTTGTGTCAGATGTACAGATGCTGAGCTCTCTGAGCTAAATATCTCTGTTCAGTGTACCTTGGCCTTTACTGTGTGTGTCAAGGAAGAGCAGGACTAGAGAAAGGAACCAGGGGAGTAATTACGTGGCAAGAAGTCCTCCGTCTCCTCTGTTCTGTGTCTTTATATCAGCAAAAAGACTTTGCCACTTGCCGGTGGCTAAGCAGAGGAGCCTCTCCCAAACCGATTGCCATAGTACAGACATCCATTCCCAGCTGACACTTTCAGAACAGCTTGTCAAACAAGTGTTTCACTGTGACTACAGGAACCTTTTGTTTGGAATTACGAAGAGCTTTATGTCTTAGGGTTCCTATTTTACGAATGGGAACTGCCAGAGTTTTGATATGCTACTTTTTTTTGTTGTTGTTGCAGTGGAAAGAGATTAAACGATTTACGAACAGCTATGTGTGTGGTATCACAAGGTGTAGAGTAAGTGAGCAGAATGTTGTGGATGTTTGGAAAAATTATAAGAGGGATTGTGCAGTGTGCCTCTGCCTTGATATATGACTTCTTTTTTTTAAGATTCAGTTGATATTATGATTATCGACACTGTAGACGTATTATAGGAGTTATCAAGTACACCCAGCTGCCTCCAGCACAAAAGCATTGAAGGATTACTACAAATAATGTGATGTCAGCTGAACCTGTAATCCTAGCATTTGAAGTTGCATGTAAGGTTGAGGGTTTTTGATGCCTTCAGTGAAGGCCAGGCCCCTAACAGCAGTTTGTCTCTCTTACTGTTTGTCAATTAACTTTGGTCGGGTTGTCTGGACCATTATTTCATAAACACTTGTACTCAATATTGGGTCGGGTTCTCTTAGTGTCTTTCTAACTCAACAATTGATTATGAATAGCTTTATGTCTGTAGTTTCAATGCACATTTCAGGCACTGTGAGTTTACAGGACCAAAATGACTTCGTAGTAACCTTTAGAAGACAACATTCAGTTGTTTCCTGATAAATTTTGTGAATTGAGATGTCCTCAAGGCACAAATAAAGTATAAAATTTCAGTACTTCTGACTTACGTTAGGCAGTGAACAAAGCAGAGATCTGTAGCGCAGTCTGTGATCATTAGCACAAAGCATTTAACTTTGCTGAAGTCATTTCTGATTCGTATTTTTAAGTTATGTATATATGAGTATCTGTTGAGAACTGTAGCACTGCAGCATTGATTTGAAAACCACAGTCAGTGGAGTTTACAGAGAAGAACTGGGGTGTGCCTGCACTGTACTGTACCTTAACTGGAGAAAGGTTATGAAAATGAGATTTGAGTGTTGCTTTTTTTAAATATGTATTTAAAATTTGTTTTTGTTTTTTTTTCAGAAAGAGGCATGTGGCTTTTATTTTATCAGTGTTCTATGAATTCTGAACAATGTCTTAAAGAAGTGCTTGCTTTCATGAACAATGTGCTCATGACCTAATGTACTGTTCAATATTGCGCTTGAAACCTCAGCGGTGTCACTTTCCCTGCTAGTGACTACAAGGATTGAATTGTTATTTGTTTGGCAAATAAACAATTTGAATATAAACATGTTTGCATGATTTTGTTGTGTACACTCCATCACAGTCAGCAAATTAGATATTTTGGTCAACTCAACAGCAACACATTTGTGGCATATAATCAAATATTTTTTTAAATGATTATAATCAAGAGTATTAAAGTAAAGGACATTTTGGCTATAAATATCCATATATGTGAAAGAGCGCCCTGTAATCGATCTAGCAGTTATACAATAAACTCCAAGCCCACTTTTTCAGACCTTATGGGGCGACTTTTATCTTTTGTGACGTAAGTTCTCGGGTTGTGATGATTCGGTCCTACTAAGTTGAGAAGTGGTGAAGCGGTTGTGGTAGACTACGCAAAGGGGTGTTTTACTCCAGTCCGATAGGGGGCGGCAACGTGCTGTGAGTCTCCATGCAGCTCGGAGTTCACGAGGAAGACAATGTGCGTTCCACACGTTGTTCGCTGTGAAGAGTGTTATGCTGTTGTGTGTTTAAGGACGTTACGAAAAAATGCGTATTAAAAAGGGAAAAGAGAAGAAAACAAACGACGAAGACCCAGTTAGGAATTTTGAGAAGTGGAAAAAGAAGCATGACAAAACCAAAAAACGAACTACGCGGCCCAAAAAGAAACGCGAGTGGGAGATAGAAAGAGAAAACATAGAGAAGCTGGTGGGCAAATACGGACAGGCAAGTAGATCTAATCCACTTATGAATCTGTTACTGTTTAATATGTCACCGCTGCACTTCACTAGTGTACTACTTTATCAGTCTGTTACTGTGTTATTGTCACTACTGTACTTACAACTATACTACTTTATCATAGTGTCACTACTGTACTTATTACTATACTACCTTATCATAGTGTCACTACTGTACTTAATACTGTACTACCTTATCATAGTGTCACTACTGTACTTAATACTATACTACTTTATCATAGTGTCACTACTGTACTTACTACTATACTACCTTATCATAGTGTCACTACTGTACTTATTACTATACTACCTTATCATAGTGTCACTACTGTACTTACAACTATACTACCTTATCATAGTGTCAGTACTGTACGTATTACTGTACTACTTTATCATAGTGTCACTACTGTACTTACTACTATACTACCTTATCATAGTGTCAGTACTGTACTTATTACTGTACTACTTTATCATAGTGTCACTACTGTACTTAGTACTATACTACCTTATCATAGTGTCAGTACTGTACTTATTACTATACTACTTTATCATAGTGTCACTACTGTACTTACTACTATACTACCTTATCATAGTGTCAGTACTGTATTTGTTACTGTACTACTTTATCAAGGTATTACTGTATTACTGAACTACTGCACTTACTCTACTACTGTATTACTCTATCACTGCTGCACATTCTATTACGGTTACTCTGTTACTGCTGCACTCACTCCACTACTGTATCACTATGTTAGTCTGTGACTCTATCATTGCTGCGCTTCATATATTTCTCTGTTTCTCTTTTTTCTCTGTTGCTGTTTTTCTAATGCTCTAATACTCGATTTCTGTTGTCTGTTCCACTGCCTTGTGTTATTGAAGAGCTGTGTTTGCTTTTGCGCTCATTTTTTGTGTTGGTGGTGTTTTATTATTTTTTTTTAACTGATCTTTATATTTTGTGTAACTAGTCACGTTGAAGACTAAATTTGTTGCTGAAATCAACTTTTCAAGTAAACTGAAAATAAAATGACCCATTTGAAACGTATCATAAGCTTCTTTTCCGCTATTCTCTATTCCTTTGTGGGTCTCCACAAGAATAAGAACAACTAAATAACACATTAGCCAATGATAATAGATCATCCACTTTTGTTATCTGTTCAAATAAAAGCTGCTTATTTTTCGCTTCACGTCACTCAAAAAATGAACTGAAATCCGTTTTTTCTGTCTCACAGATAAATCCAAAAGAGGTAGTGAGGTTCTCAGACTTTCCACTCTCAAAGAAGACGCTGAAAGGTATCATTTTATCCTTAAATTTTCTGTATAGAATAAAAATTATACAGATATATACAGGCAGTATGGAAATGTGCTTGTTCTGTTTTCTTCAGGTCTACTTGAGTCTCAGTATCGGCAGCCCACAGAGATCCAAAAACAGACCATTGGCTTTGCTCTGCAAGGAAAAGATGTTCTGGGTGCTGCAAAAACTGGTTCTGGAAAAACTTTGGCTTTTCTCATTCCGGTGAGTAATCACTACTGAAGCAAAGATAACAGCAGCAACATAGTGGGTCACATCCACTGCAGCAGTTCAATATGAAGAAGCCTCAGGCTCTGTCTGTGCATCATGCTGCTGAGAAGCTACAACATCAGTTTAGTCCAGGTGCTGCAGTATCTTACACCCTTTGTTGTATGACAATTTCATCTAGGTCTTGGAGTGTTTATACCGTCAGCAGTGGACAGCAGTGGATGGTCTTGGTGCTCTTATTATCTCTCCCACTCGAGAGCTAGCATACCAGACATTTGAGGTGCTGAGGAAAGTGGGCAAGAACCATGATTTCTCAGCTGGTCTTGTAATTGGTGGAAAGGTATGTCTTTGGTTCAGCGTTCTCTATTTGTGATCGATGTATATTCATTTCCCCGTTTACTTTGGTCTGTAAAACTCATAAAGAAACCTGATGGAGTATATTTCATGAGCAGCTTGCTTTGTGTCTGGTTCCAGGACCTGAAGGATGAGTCGCTGAAGATTCACCGTACTAATATAATCATCTGCACACCAGGGCGTCTGCTGCAGCACATGGACGAAAATTCCTCCTTTCATGCCTCAGACCTGCACATGCTTGGTAAATATTGTAGGCACCTACTTAGTGTCACAAGCAAATTAGTGATCAAAGTATGATTCTGAGGGGATTAGTTTTAAATGGGAAGGTGGGATAACGTCAGTATTACCAGTGTTTCTCAGTGATTTCAGTCTTGTCTGAATCTGCCATGGTAGTACTTTTTATGGACTGCACACTCCGGTGTCATTAAAGATTCTGGGTGCTTTTGCTTTAAACCGTAGAAATAACCCTACTTATATAAATCCCCTACAAGTTGCCATATTCCATCACATCCTGTGGGTAAGAAGTCTTCATGTTTTTGAACTCTTGAATGTGGAGGCATGTGATGAAGCATTTACTTCTATTCACTGTCCAAATCAAGCCAGGGTATACTGTCCTACCACAAGTGTACCACCCAAGCATTAGAACATTTCTTAAACATTAAAAAAGTTGACTGTTGTCTGTAAATTACCCAAGCTTGTGACAATGGTAAGGACAAGTAGATGGATAGAGTAGAGTGAAATAATGAATAAATCAAATGTCTAGATGTGTTTTCTACTTTTAAACAGCCAAGCATATTGTGGAACTCTTGCTTAGATGACAGTGTGTGATTTAAGTTGGCGCTCCCATCACTTTAATTTATACCAAGATTTCTTAACCAGTGTGAATCATTCTCAAACATTATAGACATCCTGTGCTAAAATGACATTACTTCATGTAACAATGTAAAACCAGTGTCTGGATGGTGCTGAAGTCTGTAACTTAGTTTAAAAACCATACACTTTCTTGATTACATTAACAGACCAAAACTGAACTGCAAGAGTTCAGTAATACTGCTAAAAGCTTGTCTTATACACAGAGCAAGTCATTTGTTTTCATTTAGATGAAATGTCCCTTAGTTAGGCTATGAAAGAAAGCTACCTTGTGTATATTAAAACTGTTATATGTATGTCTGTTTCCTTTGACAGTGTTGGATGAAGCAGACAGAATTTTGGATATGGGCTTTGCTGACACACTCAATGCCATCATAGAGAACCTTCCCAGAACCAGACAGACGCTGCTCTTCTCCGCCACACAAACCAAATCTGTGAAGGACCTGGCCAGACTCAGCCTGAAGAACCCTGAGTATGTCTGGGTTCACGAGCAGGCTAAATTCAGGTAGGACCACCACACTACTGTTCCCTACGGGCTTGGTAGGACTTGCTCTTTAATTTTAGATAATAGTTCTACTTCCGTCTAGGGCTGGAGGGCATGTCTCTGGTCCTGTGGGGTGTTGTGTAGTTTATTGTTGTCCTTGCTCCTGAGATCTGGTCATAAATCACTGCAGGAGGCACTTTATTGCCGAGAGTTCTGTTTTTTCTGTGTGATGTTGAGAATTGTTGAAAGTGAATTTCTGTTTCTGTTGATGTTCTTTTCAGCACTCCTGCTACTCTGGAACAGAGCTATGTGGTGTGTGAGCTGCATCAGAAGGTCAACATGCTCTTCTCATTTTTGAGGAGTCATCTGCAGAAAAAGATTATTGTCTTTTTCGCTTGCTGCAAAGAGGTAGCTGTTCACATGTCTCTTGCTTTTTTGCGTCAGCATTTGAAGTTGTATGTTTACGTGTTGACCAATTATAGTTACAGGGAAATTGTGACTACAGTCGTCATTTCCCATTGAACATCTGGTATATTAAGTGCTTAGCTACATGACTTCTAATCCCTGCATGAAACCTAAGCCGTTTCAGCACATTTTACATCTGCCTTACACTATACTGAGAGTCTATCTACTAGGTTCTTATATCTGACACTCTGTATATATTGAGCACTGTTGCTAATCCACCCTTTTTCTGTTTGGTTTTTTATTTTAACAATTTTTGATAGACTTCTGGCATTAGTCATTAGTTATTACGTTAGTTATTATTGTGCTATTACTTAGAAATCTCTGTTTTGTCTGATCTGAGTATTTCTCTTTAATCTAAATTCTTTAAATTGTTTGTGCTGTCTAGGTGCATTAATTTCCCTTTTGAGTCCTGGTTCCTCTCATTGTTTTTTCCTCATGCTCTTAAGTAGGGCTCAGACTCATTTTCTGCAAACCAAGGCGTTAATTTCCAATTCTTTTCAATGGGATAGAAATTCTTTGCTCGCTGTGTTTTTACACACTGGCCACTTCATGTTTTATGCATCCTGCATGACCATTTTTATGTAGATTGCTCCAGTTGACTTGAGTTAAAAATAAGTTTAACTTGAAGTGCTT